AATTTGCAATGCAAAGCATGAGGTTTCCACAACCCTTGAAAACCCCAATCCATGACCACGCTATTTAAATATTTCCACTACTGGTGACAGACTGAAGAGGAAGGATAATTTGCTCTCAGTATGTTGCTCACACCCATCCTTGACGTTTTCCATCCCATCATTACACACCCTGACAACCCTGCTTACTTAAGTACTTGACGGATCCTAAACCAATTTAAAACACCCTGGGATTTGGTAAACGTGGGAAGGGCTTTAAGTAGCTGTGATATGGGCACATATCTGGGCAGAAGGGGACCAAAGCCCATCTCGTCTGAGATCTGAAATGCAATAATTGCATTATAATAAATGCATCTCTTGTACACCTATAGGACTCTCCCACAGTCTCAGGAAAGGCAGCTGCTTTTCATTTTCAGCGTCATCCAGACATGAACTGCATGTTTAGTTATTTCTCTCCTTTACCATTTAACAAAGTTTCTCCCTTAGGCTCTCCTTTTTTTTTTTTTACACAAAACAGTTGGATGTCAACCTCTGTCTTTTGCACAAAGGGAACAGGAGGCTCACAGTTGCACTGGATGAGATTTTCAAAATCCTAGAGGCTTATCTGTCAGGTGGCAGGGCTTATTTGCTACCTCTGTGCGGCAAAGACCGCCAGCTGAAGAGCGATGAGCAGTTTCAGACTTCATTCTCTTTGAAATGTGGTTAATACTTCCATCTGCTATCAGGAGCTTTAAATTCTAATTTTATATGAAATAAAAGTGATATTTAGAAACTCATCTACATAAAACATTTGCAGACAGCTTTCATCTGTGTTTCTTGTTGAAAGGAAGTTGCTATTGGGTACCCGTGCCACGCCACATAAATACTTCAGCATCTCTTGCAAACATATTTATGGTTATGTTCTTCCATCTGCCACAGAAAAGTTGAGGCTACAGAAGGGTAATTTAAAAAAAAAATGAAAAGAATCTGTTTTAGTTACTTTTCTTCTAGTTTATGTGTTCAAATGGATGCATGGAGCTATATAATTATTTAAGCCCTGTGTTCCTGTTCTTGCTGGTCATCTTTGCTTTCTGGTGAACAGTGGTGAGCCATTCATCTCACGCCAAATAGACCGAAACAACAGGAGTCTATCGATACAAAAATAGGAAAATAAAAAACAATTGCACAAGGTGTACTGGGATGCTTTCTACTAAGGAGGACCTTAATTTCCATTGATCGGATGCAACGACATCCTTTCCTAGCTGTGCTAACTCAGCTGGAGAGCGAATACTGCAGTGCCAAGCTCCATCGCAGCATGTGTCCATCAGAGCTGGAGAGACAATCTGATCATCTGCCTAAGAAATATGTATTTTTGGCTAAGGAGAGGAAGGAAATGTTCCTCATTCCAGACGCTTTCCAAACTTCATATTTTGTTGATGAAATGGCACCTGTTGTCAGTCTGAAATGTGAGCATACTCTTATGATTAAATGATACAATTTAAAAACCGTATCTTGTGTAAACTCAATAGCCAACCGGCTAGCAGACATCTTAAAGCATTTTAGCTCAAGTGATATTGAATTAAAGCCAGGCCAAGCAAGTGATGACAGAAGATGATATACAGGAGAAATTGAAAGGTTCTGAACAGAATCCCTCTATCTACACGCTGACACTTTGGAGCCACCACTAATATAAACCACAATTTCTTTATACTCTCAGACCACCATTCATCCCAAAACACTTTACAGACTGCTGCACACAGAGCAGCTATGGAAGAACTGCATTTTTTACTACAAAGTTAGGCTGCAGCAATCTGAAAAATCCCACAAGCTGCTCTACAGTGAAACCTTTGAGTTTTCAAGCGGTGGCAATGACGCAAGAAAACCACTAAATAATCCTGTGTAGGAGAGAACCAGTGTGTGAACTATGGCAAAACTTCTGCAGCCACACTAAAAATTACCTGCCCTACCTGCCACTCCTGCTACTCAGTGGCATACAACATGCAAACCGCGGACCATCTCTATTTCCATCCTGCTCTGAACAGGAAGACACCACCATGCTTACTCTGATGGCTCCCTGTTGACTGCGTGTATTGGCAAGACTCTTTGCAGCTCTCGCTGATGGCCAACCCATTCTGTTCGCGTGACCTCTCCTACTAGCAGTGCCTCAAATGGCAACCTCAAAATTTCACCGAGAACACAAGAGCAGGGACTAGGAGAGCAGGTATGAGGTATTTATTCCTGGACATCTGAGGCTCAGAGAGTCATTTTACGTCCTAAAAGAGAATAAGCGGCACCAACCAGAACACTAACTGCACTGACGCAGCTTGGACTTTGAACCATGGTTGGCAGCGCAGATCGGACCCTCGGGAGCACTGGTCAGGTATGGTGGCCTCTTGCCCTGCGTGCTTTGCTCCCACTCAGTGGTGTGGCTGATTAAATTAAACAGATAAATAAATCCCTTGGCTCACAGAGGAGTTTTGCCTTTGATTTCATATCCAGGCTGTTACGCCAGCAAAGACGACAGATGGCAACAAGAGGCAAGCTGAGGAGAGCCAAAAGATGCTGAAAAATGGTTCTGTTGTGTGCCTAGGAGCCATCGCCTCCAGGTCAGAGGAGACATGTCCACAGGGCAGTGCAGGGAAGCACCTACTATTCCGCTTGCAAGACAAACCAAGCACCTTCCCAGGTCACTCCATTCACATGGCCACACAGACTCTCCATCTCCACCTCATTACCTTGCAACTTATTTAAATAAAAAGCTGCAGAGCGGAAAGGCCACTTTGCATGAATTTCTCAGAAAGAACCAAGTAATTTGCACAATAACTAAAGCAAGCAAAGAAACGAACCTCTCCCTCCAACACTCCCCATGTCCCTTTCACACTAACAAAAAGTACCCGTTGCCTCTCCAGAAGGCATTGGCTAATTGATTTCATTTCCCAGCTCTTGTTTTACCAAAACAAGTACATTCAGCAGGGGCTGCTTGGACAAAGAAGTGACAGCGGGAAATTGCCAGTGTGGTCCTAATAATGGAAGTGAATCAGCAGAATCAGAAGACGCATTGCAATGCAAGAGGGAGGCTTCTTCATTTATTTTCCTTTCTCATATGGTTAGATAACACATAAAAATGAGCGTCTTTCCACTTATACCTATTCATAGTCATAGAAATATTTTCATTTATTCTAACACGCATGCATACGCACACATAATCCCAAGTCAGAAAAAACAGCCAGGAAGCCATTAACAAAAAAAAACAAAACAAAACCATGAAACTCCCAGCCCATAAAGTGCCCATTCCTCTTTGAAACCTCAGTCACCAGAAGTAATAAATCTGTGAAATGGAACGTTGCTGACGTGATTTGTGACTCCTTTCTAAAAGGTCCCTTCAAATGGACTCCCCATCCATTTGAGGGTAGCAACAAATTTTGGCCTTGGCAGCAATTTGCCTGCCTCCAACAGAAATAGATAATCAGTAATGCAGACCAGGGGGGACTTCCAGCACACCTCCAAACGCGCTTACGACAGAGCTTGAAACTTACTGCAGAAAACCTCATGAACACACTGCTGAGTCACAGCCAGCTTCGGATGAGGACCTTGCCTCTCTCAGCCTCCAGCCCTGCCCCTCTTACTTTCTCCTTCACTGCTTTCTGTGCCTCCTTCCTTTCACCCCACATTACCAATCCTTTACCATAGAGTGCTCCTGCTCCTGAATGAAGCCCAGAGGAGCTTGAGCTGATAATCTATATTTCCTTTGGAAGGAGTGTGGTGGCCCAAAGGGACTCCTGACAGGCGTGATTATGCCTGCTGTCACCAGTAATTCTCTCTCTAGTCATCTCACACCTAGCAAGAGACTGCAAATGCACACAATCAATTTAACAACACTGCCATGTCTCCTGTCACCAGGCTCACTGGGGACAACGCTACCCAGAGAGCCACCACATCAAGTATTTATAGCAATCATTTGTAACGTGCGTTGCTCGAATCCCTTTGCCAGCGCCACAGACTCTCTTCCAGGCATTCAAACATTCAACCGCATTAAAACTTTCAACCACAGATTTGGTAACAGCACACTTGGGGGGGTGTTTTTAGGTTTTTAATTAGCTTTTTCTTACAATGAAGGTGCTATAACACAAAACGCACCAGGTTGCTGGAGGGGGGAGAGAAAATAACGATACACTAAATAAAGAGGAAACACTGTTATACTGCATGCAATTATCACAAGAAAATAAAAAATTAAGTTTTATTAAATACTTTTTACTATTTAAAAATAGCATTCAAATGTGCCTGTGGTAGTTCTGAGCTTTAGCTGCCTGTGATGACAGCTGTTTTACACCTGCAAGGAACTTGCATATTACGAGATATATATTTTTATGTCTATTCTTAATGGTCATCCAAAAACTCATCACGCTCAAAAACTTCAGCATCATTCACAGACTTGCATAGCAAACACGTTTGGTTATGACACCATTTGTATTGTCTGCTGAAAGAAGGGCTTGAACAACATTTGTTTAGTCAAGGACGAACAGTCCCGTGGAGCCTGCGGGCGGATGCACGGAAAAACAAAGCCAGGTAACGCTTCAGTAACAAAGCAACAGGGTCCTTTTAACCGGCAGAAACGCAGGTAGAACTGAACTATTCTGCAGTCCGGGCTGCGCTCAGAGGGTTGCCTCGTGCGTCTAATATATTTCACACAAAAGCATCAGGATGTTAGGGAAACAAGTCCAGAGGAGGTTCAAGTGGGGCTTCACCAAAGACCTCTCATTTCTCAAAGGCCCATGAAAGAAGGCATTGCTAGAGAAGGTCGGTTTCGGGCAGAGACGCTGTGCCAGCAAGTGGGTGTTACTCGTCAAAGTCAATTCTGATGGGGCCGCCTGTCAGGATGTGCTTTGCCACGTGACCAGCTTCCTCCTCCTCCTCTGTCTCGGCTGCCCTGCGCACTCGTCTCCGGCAGCCCTGGGCGCAGCGGGAGCTCTCGTCCAGCGCCCCGCACACGAGGATGCGGCAGTGCAGGAACACTTCCTGGTGGCGGCAAGACAGCAGGCGAAGTCAGTGCACAACGGGCTGTGGGAACCTGACTGGCAGTGCTGCCGGCTCTCACGGAGCATGGGATGTATGCGATTCCCACAGCACAGCCATTTCTGTCCAGGTCAGTAATGTCCTTATCCACCATGACAGCCAAATTGGCTGCTCCATCTGTTTTCTTAGATGCTCAGGTGAGAGCATGTTTGCCCGGCAGAAAATTCAGAGCATGCTGTTTGCCTCTTAGCCAGGGACTAAGACAGAGAACATGAACGCATGAAATGAACCTTCAGAAGAAGGTATGAAAATGTCAGGAGTGAGCTTGGAAGAGCTCGTATGGACTGGAAGTGTGGTAGGAAGCAGGCCAAGAACGCATGAAGCCTCGCAAGGAGATGCATTGACGCAAAGGTGCAAGAGTTTGACATGCGCTGAGAAAGCATTTAAGGATAGAAGACTGAGGAGCAAAGGAGAAAACACAGGCTCATGAGGGGCCAGGACTGGTAGTTGAAAGGAGGAGAGTACAAAGGGCATGGAGACAGCTGCCTTTTCTTTCTGCACAGTAAAGGTAGACAGTGATAGGATTGCTGTTCCCTTCCCTCTAAATGACAAGAAGAGTAAGCAAGATCCCTGCAAGCAGTGATTAAGGAAGCGAATATTTGTGAAAGCGTAGTCAACAGTGAGATTTGAAGCAAAATCCATTGCACCGGCCCTGGAGGATGTGGGGTGGAGGCAGCAGTGGCAATCAGAAGGCCAGTGAAATCTATGAATTTAAAAGGACCTTATCCTTTTTAACCCTACTGAGGCTCTGCACAGGCCGGAGAGGCAGCTTTATGCCTTTTGGGACAGGCAGTACTGGCTGAGTATAACAACAGTGATTGAAAAACCTGACTTCTTCTAGCAAAGAAGAGGAAAGCTATTTGCATTAGGAAGACAGCATTACCCTTCAGCTGTCCTCACACTAGAGAGCCTCTGCCACAAACTGCCATCAGCCTGGCCTGCCTGGTTTCATGTTGAATTAATCAGTATGGTGGCCTCATGCCTGGAAACCTGCAGGGCGTTTGCGCTCAAAGACCCAGAGAAGATACATGGCTGAAGAGATCCAAAGCTACAGACTGTCTTGTTTTAAAGACAGGACACTGCACAATGCGCCTAACTCCCTGGGTTTCTGTTTGGTCACTGGAAACACAAACACCTTTCTCTCCCAGCGTAGGAGGCTCCCCAGAGCCTACATGGGAAAGAGCGATGATTTCAGCCCGCCAGCACACAAGCTTTGAGTGTACCTGTATCGGCTGCTGTTGTGCATGGCAGGAAGAGGCAGTCGAGACTAGACGGAGTTGAAAGGCTATGACAGGGCTTCAGCCCCCATACTGGGCTACATGATACTGCGCAGCAGGCTGGGTCAGTCTACAGCAGCCACAACTGGCGTTCACATTTTATTTAATTTTATTTGGTTTTATCACCGTCTTCCGAAGTACTTGTGTTCAGCTCCTGAAAGAAACAGCTGCTGGAACAGGCAGAGCACTGTGCGTCTTGGGCCAGCCATTCCTCCCCTCGGTACTCTAATAACACTACAGACATACAGCCAACTCTGTTGAGGATCCTCAGTCAGATCAGGGCTGAGGCAAGGTCCGAGAGGTTTTGAGCTTACCTTGTTGTCTTTGCCCACAAACTTGAACACGGGAACCTGGAAGTGCTTGGCAAGATGGTCCTTTGACGTGTACTGTTTCACTGAATCATCAGAAACGCAGCTGAGGAAAGCAAAGGGATAGGCTTTAATGGGTTTCCCAGAAATGGAAAAAGAAAAGACAGGAAAAAAAACATCCCAGCCTATTTAACTAGAAAAAGAAAAGGAGGGCTTGGCTCTCTTAGGCTAAGCTACCATCCACGTTACTTCCTCTTTGGTCACAGGAGAAAATTCGGGAATGATGGGGAAAAAACAACAGGGAAGATGATAGCATCTCCAGACAAAGAACAGCTCAGCAGCAGCGCTGGCAGGACACAGTCCAGTCCCTTCGGCAGAGGGGCTGCCAGAGAACTGCAGGCAAATTTATCCTCATTTCACCTTCCTGTGCAACAGTCTGCAGTGATCAACAGAACTGTTGAACATCTATAATATATTAGGCAGTCTGCGTATACAGCACACAAATGACGCTTAAAATGAAGAAGCCTTTGCCCACGTTACTAAAATATTACAGATTATGAAAAAACAAAAACCTAAATCTACTTTGCTTTATCTCATTTATATTTTTCTTTACTTCTCGATGCACTTGGCTGGATGGCTCAAATTCCCTACAGCTATAATTCATAATTTCAGTTTCTTTGTCACTAGCAATATATAGGTACGTAAGCGGTCAAAACACTGAAAGAAGATAAACTACCTTTTTAGAAAGTTACATTTCATGCCTAGTCAGTTTATAAACTACTACAGACTATTTAGAGTCTTCCAGTGAAACAGCAAGACAAAAAGTTACGGTGACTCGAAAATTACTGTTGCCTACTGCAATGCCTTGGGCATTTTGAGAGGCACAGATGCTGTCGTTACTTTGCATTGCAATGCAGCATGTCCTTTCCAGCAAGTGAATTCCAGAAACATGGACTTTGCAAGCTATAAAAAAAGGAAGAGATGAGGTGTGATAGCGTGACAGCTCAAAGCCTACTCTAGAAGCAACCTTTAGCTTCAAGCCTTACACCAGAAATATGCCACGTATTGTCAGAAACACTGACAATTTTGACATGTCATGACACGTTCCTTTATCAAACGGCGACAAGAACAGCAGCAATCCCCCCCCCCCCCCCTCCATCTACATGTAGCTCTGCTTACACTAGAATGTGTATTTAGAAATCTCTGTACTGTTTGGCTAGCTTGTCTCTTTGGGCTGCAACCTCTCCCAGAATCGCCCCTCTGCCACGCGCGGCAGAGCACTGAATGTCCATGGGAGCGCTCAGCGCTGGCCTGATCCCAGCATTATTTATACCATCATTTATTTCAGTAGCTTTCTCAGCCAGCGGAGGTCATGGTCTGAAGGGATATCCCTGTTTGCAATACTTGTCTAGTTAACTTGCCCAGGAGGCAAACATAAAAAGTTGTCCAAGGGGAGCCAGTAAATTAACACTGTGCCTCTAGAAAAAGTGACATAGATTCCTTCCCCTTGAGGCCAAATACTAAATGCTATTAAGTTGTTTAGTACAAAATTACTTATAAAAGTATCATTCCTCAAGGCACCTGACTGCAAAGCGTATCAGTTAAAGACTTCCCATAAGTGACTGGACAAGCCTTGGGGTTGTAAAGTCAACTCAGAGGCATTTCCCTGCTTGTAAGCCTATAAACTACGGTGATTCTTGGATAGTGGCTCAAACCCAACTCCTACATCCCAAGGGTATCCTCCACAGCAGTGGCTAGGAACCTACTGGTTTGGGGCTAGGGAGAAGGAAAATGGAAAAACAAGGAGGAACCTCAGAGCCCCTACCATGCCCCTAAGCATGTGTTTTAGCGAGGGTTGCCACAAATGCATTGCAGCATGACCGGAAGAGCTCAGAAACCTCCCAAGTCATGGGGACAAGTACCTTAGCATTGTATGAGGGGCCATACCAAGTCCCACCCTCCTAGGAAAGCCCCAAACTCTGCGCTTTCTGCCTTAGAGAGGTGAGAAGGAGCAGAGGAGCACAGGTAGGGAAGGAAGATGGGTGACCCCGCTCTGGACAAGGGGGAAACAACCCCTTCTCATGTACAGCGTGTCGAGGGCAGGGGAGTGGAGAGCGGTTGTGCCGTGGTAGCTCTGCTCTGACCCTTTCCTGGGGCCGGTTGCAGGGTGGAAAGGAGAGCTCAGCAAGCACAAAAGCTACTTCCACCTGCAAACGCGGTGTATCGAGAGGGAGCCTTTCTAACCAAGTGCAGTGGAACCACCTTAACCTCCTTACGCTTGGTAAGCGGCAGCTCCCGACCATCTCAGATTACAATGGATTGCCCATAGTGACGTGACCTTGCTCCAAATGCCCCAGAGAGCTGCAATGTTGATTGTCCATGCAACTGGTCGATGCCTTTTGTTTATTTTCGTTTGGAGAAAGTGGAAGGGCAGGAGCAGAAGTGGGAAAGCCCCCTTTGGGGCTCTGGCTCTAGCAGCGGCAGTGGGGTGTGTTGTGGAGCCCAGAGGGACGGATCTGGGCAAATCCACATTTCCAGCTCAGTGACAGGGCCTCAGACAGCAGTGATTTCTTACCTATGAAGCCCTTCTCATCAGCAAGGGGAGAGGGGCTGAGAGCACCTCCCACCTCCTGCCAGCTGGAGATGGCAGGGAATAATCAGAAGAAAGTAAAAGAGGAAATTTCCCCTCGCCTCAGTCTAAAGTATATCCCCTCAATAAAGGTATTTATACAGAATTTCACTCTGGAAGTCTCGGCTGCAGTTAACTCCTGCAGACCTGATGCTACATAATCAAACCTATTAGAAAGCTCATCCGGGGCTTTGGAGGCTGGGCTGATGGAAGGAAAAGGGGTTATTACAAAACTGTTTGGAGCAAGGGGAAATCAGCAGTGGATTCAGCTAATTTTGCTTTTTAATTGCTGCAAGCCTAGCAGGAGACAAAGAGCTCCAGCTAGCCCAATAGTGCATCATTAGTCTTTGCTCTAAGTCAGCAGTACAATTTAAATACAGCACACTGCAGGGGGCTGGCATGTCCGGGGGATGCTGGGGCCTGAATAACTGTGCCAGAGCAGAGCTCTGGATTAGCTCCAGCCAGTCTGCTCCAGCCCACTTCTCCTTTCGGTGAAGTTTTAATGCCCTCTGCAGGATAACAAAACCAAAGGGGCCGTTCATGCCTTCCCCGCCAGGAGAAAAAAGGAAGCTTCTAGCTCCTTTCTGCACAAATCCCGAAACTGCTGCTGTGGTGGATTAGAGAGGTCCCATTTTCAGCCCTCTCTCTTTATTCGTCTCAGGTTTTGACCGCTGTTTTGGATGCCCATCATTTTCACTCGTCATGGGAAATGAATGAATGTTTGGAGCCCTGAGAGGGTCCAAACGGACAGCCAGGGAGTCAACAAATCAAGTATTCCAATACAAGTCTGCTCATAACAAATGCCAGAAACGTCAAGCACAGAAGAACTGCAGCCTAGGAGGGAGGGAGGACAAGCCACTGCTGAAATCTTTGTTAGAGGGAAATTAAAACAGTATCTTTGTGTACTGCACTCAGCAGGATCCTTTTGCTACAGGACTATCCCATAGGATTTGTCATCAGCAGCTGTAATGGTGGATGATTTAGCCTGGCAGCTGAAGAAATACGGTCTTCCTTATGAGATGGTTGGGCAGACAGGACACGGCACTTACACAAACAGAATCCCTTCACTGGTCGGCCGTGACACCTGGATATGTCTTAGCTATCACTTCGGCAGGACTTTCTTCCCTAAGGAATAGCAGACATTTCCCAACTATGCCTTTTGCACAATGCTTTCTGGTTAAGCTGCCAGACACTGCTGGATGCAAACACTCCAGAGCAACATCGCAACATGGCACGGTCACACTGGTACCCAAACAAGTCTCCGAAAACAGCGGTCACCTTTGGAGCTAGCAGAGCCCAGAGGAACGCTCCCCAGAACCTCTGACACAAAATCTGTCCCAAGGAGGCCTGAGGGTGAGCCCACGGATCCACCCTGAGCCTTTTACTAGCATATCCTGGAAAGATCATTAACCCCAAACGGCCCAGAAACTCACCACCAAATTAAGGGACCCTAAGCCTTCTACAATGACAACCATCAGAGAGACAGTAAAGAAAGGGGAGCTCCAATCAGGACCAGCCACGGAGTCTTCTGGCTTATGCTACAGAAAGGCCACTATGGGAAAATGAAGACACTTGCTCCAGCAGCCATGTCGCAGCAGCACACCGTCATTGGGGGGGTTCTGCTGACTGGTTCGGCACTTTGCCAGCTGGCAGACAGAGGATATCGGCAAAGACATCTCCTCTACAGGAACCAACTCAATTATGCACAAGCCTAGTTAGAGACAGATGTCCCGTAAAAGCTGCACTTGGAGTAATCTCTCCCACTGCCTCCCGCTGTTTCTCCTAATCACTTCTGATGGGACAGGTGCTTCAGCTTGATAACCCTGGCCGCTGGTGATTGCTAGGAATACAGCAGACAGACTGCTGTGGAGAAGCAAGGGTATTTGCTGCGTCACATAGCTAACACGACTCAGCCGCCCTGCCACTTCCCGTCTAATAGCCAGTGAAGGAGGGAGCAGTGAACTCACCCATCTTGAATCAGGTAGTACTTCAAGATCTCATCAATTTTTGAGGTGGGAGTGGCAAAGCAGCTCTCAACCAGTGTCTCCAGTCCACTGACGTGTACCAAGGGCTCGATCCCAAAATACAGAGAGTCCCGAAGCTTGAGGGTGGGAAGGGTGTCCCTGTAAGGCTCGTCAAATTCTTTGTCTTTGAAAATCTCAAGAGTGAAGGGGAAGATTCCTTGGTTGCGGCTCATGATTTCCAAGGGGGAGTTCTTGAGGTTGGGCACATAACCTTCGGAGATGGTGTACCGGCGCGGGAACTCACAGGTCACCGGGATCAGCAGCTTGCTGGTGCGGACAATAATGTCCCCATTACTGCCTGGAGTCTGCTTTGGCAAGCCAGTCACCAGATTGGTGGCAATGATTTTATCATTTATTACCTGCAGCAAAGAAAGGGATTTAAGGGAAAAGAGAGATCACCCTTGGAGAGAAATACCTCTCTCCAAGTTCGGACAAGCACCAGCAGCTGAGTTTACCTTGCTCAAGAAAGTCAGGCATAAACTAGCCCCTGAAGACGCAGCTTGTGAAGTCATACACTACAACCAGAGCAATGTTCATCTTTACCTACGGCCCAAGGGCCTTTGTTAGTTTGCTATCAATTGTGATTCACTGTACTCATGCATGAAGCAGAGGAACTGGCTTCCAGTTGCTACCCACCTTCTGAGAGGAGTTCTCTAGTTCCTGACCAGTTGCCAGTACAGCCTTTGAAGCATAATCTGGAGACCAAATACAGCCTCAACAGGAGGGTGAAGAATGGCACAACTTGCCCTTTCAGCACCAGGGTGATAGCGAAGCCCCTTCTGTGAAGCTCTAGGTGAAGAGAAGGCAGTGCCCACACTTACAGACACACACTACTGGAGAGCAGATGGAAGCAGCTCTCCCACTTCAGGATGCTCCCCCCTCAGGTCTAGTCTGAGGCCAGCTGCATGGCAGCATGGGGAACTGCTCTGATGGTACAGCTAAATCAACTTTATTCCCCAATTAGGCTATCAACCAGCCCCCAAACCTGAGAGATCCCAAGAGCCAGGATAGCGATGAGTATACATACGTCTACAACAGTGCCACAGGACTTCAAAGAGAAGTGGATGTTGACGTGAGTGCCGTTGGATACTCCTTTGCAGGAAGTGTTAATGAGGGAAAGGTCCAGGCCTCCAACCAGGTCCTTTGGGATGCTCACCTCAATAGAGCTAGACTTGCACAACACTGGAACTACAAGAAAAGGCCCCAGAACAATATTAAGCACTGCACATCTATTGGGGGCTGCAGAAAGGCTCTACTTACTGTTACTGAGGGGAAAAAAAAAAAAAAAAGGACGCTGCATTTATTATTTGTCTATCTTACGTTCCCATCCGTGCAACACAAACCTCCTAATCCACCACTACCCTAAATTTTCCTGGCACAGTCATGCCACAGAAGACGACAACGATGACTGCTACGCGTGCAGCAGAAGCTCAGCTAGGCAGTATTTCGAGCTATACTTTATATTCAGCAGAGGTCTGCTTGATATTGCTAGCATTACTATGCTCTGGAAAGAGTCTTATCCAGATATGGATATCCAATTTGCAACATCTCAGACAAAGCCATTATTTTAAGACCCTTTATCAGGTTTTACATCAAATCCAAAACATGCCTAAACAAGACAGAATAATTCCATATAGATACCCATCCAAAACCGAAGCATCCTGAAAGGCCATAATAATTTATATTTCTATATGCAATAAACCCATCTCTGACACAAACAGTTTCAATTAGCTCATTCCACCTCCTTCCAATCTACCCTGAATTTTCATAAAAAAGATTTCCGTGTGAGCTTTATTTAAAAAAAAAAATTTGATTCTGTTACATTACAAAAGTGGGGAAAAAGCAGTGATTGAACAAAATGAAAATGGAAAGAAGAGGGAATGATTGTCAATAAAAAAGTAAGTGCAGTATATATTCCTTGTGCCTATGCACGTCTATTCCATACGATTTGGGGCAAGTGCTCTTTTGCTTGCAGAAAGACAAAAGCCCTCCAGAATCACCATTTAGCATAGCTTAAAATCACATGACAAAACTTTTTTGCAAATATACCAGGTCACCAAACTTTTCTTCCTAAAACTTCTAACACCTGCCATTCCATATGATTCCCCTAATTCCAATCAAGTTAATTACACAATCTAGAATTCTGGAACTTGGACACAAGGAACATGGCTAAAACACACATTTCTCCCTCTAAGAAAAAATTCTTGTGTCCCAGCTAAGGTATTCATAATAGCTACCATGTATCTGCAGGGAATAGTTTTTACTAAAGAGCCATCATTTTCAAGGTGTTATGCTAAACGGCATGTGGTGTGCCCAAAGCAATATGCTCTCCTAATGACATTGCTGGGTTAGAATGGAAAATTAAAGAAGTACCTTCACTTTTACTCCATTAGCAGTAGAAGGCAAACCGGAATAACTGAGCAAAGCTCTAAAGGAGGCAAAGGGACATTGTGAACATAGTCTAACGCAGATGGAAAGAAGAATATCCTTTGCAGAATTGATTGGCTCAACTCTAGCTTCACTGTTCTGGTAACTCACTGGTGAATGAAAAATTGTCACGCTTTTATAAAGGTGGAGTTCTGAGCAAGACAAGTTGGATCCCAACTGCAATTCTCCAAAGTTCAGGACCAATTTGGTCCAGGTTATCTCTGTATCTAAATGTCCTTGATTGGCACACACGATGATAAGGGAGACACCCGTGACGTTTAAGCTGTGCTCTGGCATTTCAGGAGACTCCTCTGTGCACTCCTCCATGTGGGCACGGAAACAAGTGAATGAAACCACATACAGCAACTGCCGTGAGTGGATCCACTTTGGATTCAAAGTCGCCTATACTTCTTTGGGAAAACACTTGGGGAAACACCAGTGCCGGCAACCCCTTCTATTAATCATCCCACAATAACAAAATGTAATTCAAACCACATCAGGCACTTGGACACACAAGAGTAATCAATACTGAGAGCAGCATTTCAGTTCTTCTAATTTAACAATCGTGCTGCAAGGCAGAGAGACTGCTTGCCTCAGCATGGTTCAGCTCTGAGCAGGTCCGATTCCCCCAAGAAAGATGATGCTGGCAATGGCAGTGCAGGGGGAACTGAAAAGATGCCGGCAAGGTAGCCTTGATTATATGGAAACATGTTATTCTTATTATATAAGGGCAGGTGATGAGCTTTGAATTGCCAAGACTGAGATGCCGAGCAGAAACGCGTTCTCCTGAGTACCAAGGAATCCCCTTTTCTTCACAAATTCTTGCATCTATTCAGATAGCTCCGCTCTCCTGACTTGCTGCCACGTGAATCTCGCACATCTTTGCCGTGGCTCACCCCTATCTGGGAGGCTCCTCCTAGCCTCACCCATTTTTTTGCCCATCAAGCATTTTGGCTCATGGTTTTTTACCTTTGTACACAGCAGAGCATCTGTGAGCACTGGCAGAGCCACCTCCTTACTCTTTTTAAACTCTCCTTTGTATCAATGCCTCCACTGCTTATTTTGCACCTCCACCTGCTGTTGTTGCACCTTGTTCTTTGTCCAGCCGGTGGTTTCTTCCTTGGCCTTTCAAAGTGCAGCTGCTTGGAGCAGGGGCTACCTTTCTGTGCAGACCGCTCAATACAACAGGCTCTCTGGCACTGGGGAGCCCTGACCCGCTACTACAAACACAAATAAACTATGTCGTCGTAACCTGCTTAGCTGCGCAAAAGGGTTGGATAGCAGAGAAAAAAGCATTTCAGCATCACACTTCAGAAGGAGGTGGGGTACTAGGAAAGGGAAAGGAAACCGTTTGCAAAATTTCCAGTACTTCTTTGGCTGGTATCCTTGTGTGAAAATTGCAGCCAAGTCATTGATTTCTGTGGAAGAAGATTGATATTTGCCCTGAATGTATAGGCAGCGCAGGGGTGGGTTGATAGAATGCAGATCTGATTGCTTCAGGCAACTGTGTCTGCCCTGCGCTATTAATTGTATCACTACAAACTTGATTAGATGCCATAAAAAACTGTACTGGTACAGTTCCAAATACAGTCTGTCATACATACCTGCTCAAAAACGCAGACCACTGGATAGGGCCATAAATTCACAAAACATAAAAGAACAAGGAACCTTGCTTTATGAGAGGCTGTACTGCAAGCGCCCGCGGCAGCCAGCACTGCTGCCACTCATTAGCAGCCTCATAAGGAGGAGGAGAGTGGGCTGTGAAATGCTTGGCCTCCTCACCCTGCTGGGGCTGCCTCCAGGAGACAGGATGGAAGAACACGGCTCTTGTCTGGCCTCCCACCTTCAATCAATAAGAATAATCACAGCTCTGGAAATCCCCATTGCCTCCACCCCACCTGGCTCTGCCAGAGCAGTGAGGACTACTGAATCACAAGCGTGCAGGGCTCACCCCAACCTCCATGTACGAGAACCTTCCCAAAAACAGATGGGCAGAGAAGCGAATCGATGTGGAAAAAAGGAAGCCCAGATCACGTGGTAACACCCTAAAAAATACAACATGACAAAACAGAGGACATCCAGACAGCAGAGGGCAACTTAGCCCTGCTGCAAGGCAGCCACATGCTGCCCTCTGGATAGTGTGCACAGGACCTCTGCACATGCAGCACCTTCTTGCAGGCTCTTGACAACTCTTTTTCTGTGACATAAGCACTTCCAAGCACTCAGCTGCTTAACTGGGGGAAGGAAAGGGGGAGAAGGAGCTGCCATTGTCCCCCTCCCCTCCCAAGGAAGTGAGACTGGGATGGGGCACTCCAGAAGGGCAATTAAATTGCCCCAACTGCAAGACTTCTCCTTTCCTGGGATCCCCTTCCTCATTCACCACGCACCTTCCTACCACAGAGGCCTACAGGCAAACAGCCTCCTTCCTGCATGGTCACCAGCATCCCTTGCACTGAACGACCATGTCTGCACTGTAGATTCAGTCATATGCACAAGGCGTAGACTGACAATCTGCGTTCGTTCCTATATTACTGGTCTTTCTTGTAATTCTTGCATTAATTTTACATTCTTTCACCACTGTATGGCCTACTTTTCTGGAGAAAAATTAAACGCTTAAAAAGCGGAAATTGCATCAAATAGAACTATTTTGACTTCCTCTCCAGGATATATCTGCCCTGGCAGTTTGGATCTGTATCTCTAATTGATGTTTCACCGTCTGTAACACATCAGACCACAGGAGATTCAGGCCTGAGCTCACCCTTGCTGGAATTATCTACAGCCCAAGTGAATCAGCTCATGAAAGGCTCCTTTTCCTGCATGGAGATCTTCCCCTGCCTATGGCCTGAGTCCAGCCCATTAGCAAACTCCAATGAAAATGTCTGAAAGCAACAACACTGGTTCTTCCTGGGCCCACCAAAAAGGAGGACAAGCAGAGAGCTAGGAGCTTGGTCTGTCCCCATCAGGGCAGCACTGCTCCTTCTCCAGTTATGTGCTGAGCCTGACAGGCTGAGAAGTGGTGAGGCCTCCCCCGTGCTCTTTTCCCTGCGCTCACTGCTGCAGAGCTAGATGGACTCCTGGGAGCCCGGAAACGCATTTGCAAGAAAATCCTGCTCAGCTTTCGCAGCCCAAGAAAGGGAAAATGTTTATCCTATGCATGTGTCACAGGTGCAAGCAAGTCAGCAAGAAGGACTCCCTGTGCACAGAGATGCAGTAAACCTCCCATGGAAGGTTCTCCAAGGATAGTGTTGCCTTTGCCTCTACTCAGCATAAGCAACTGTCAATTTTCAGACACTTTCTTGGGCACTTTTCCAGGGGACAGCAGAAACACTCGACATCAGAACCAGTCCCCCGCTTTTGAGACATCAGAATGCTTACTGAAATGACTAGATAGATATTTAACACCGTTTGCCATTCTTTAACACCATTCTTGGAAGTGACCAAACCATTTTAATTGAAATTAAAAAGACCAAGTTTGAGGCATGGAAAATTTCAGCTCTAATAGCAAAAATTTGGCAAAAGCATACACAGCTGAAGCAAAGCAATATAATGGGAGATGTTAAGCAATCTTAATTGTAAGTGATCACTGCCAAAACCACCTGTGATGTAAGATGCACTCAGCAGGGTCCTGTGTCTCTGTTCTCCTGCCTGGTAAAAAGAGCAATGTCTGCAGGCATTCAATTTGGGATGATCTGTCATTTTCAACAAAGCTCCATAAACTAAACTGGAAAGGAGAAACCAAGAGAACACAACAAAAACAAGAAGAAAAGTTCGGGGGTGGGTCGGAAACAATACCACCCCTGATAAAAACCCTCAGTGAGTGAAGGCCATTGAAAACTTCGTCTTCATCCAGCATTTTTTTGAAAGCAACTTGAACGTCCTATTGCAGAGCAGAGGTGGACAGCAACCCCTTCCTTCCACAAGAAGGAACATTTTCTTTCACATATATACTGTTCCTTTTTCCCAGAGTTCTGCCAGGCCCCACTCTTCCCACACACTATTGCTTTAGGTACCACTGATTGACATGTTTTTCCCTTTCAAAGCACTAATCAGTCAGTCCTTCTTGCTAGACACCTGATACACAACACACTTTCACATACTGAGGGCATGTGGGATGCCTCCTCTGAAGGAAACTGCAGGAGGGTTCTTTGCAGAGGAGTTGGGCCCCGCTCTGACCTTCTCCTATCAATGAAAAACATTCTTTCTAACATGCTTTGCATGTCCAGGGGATAGAGGCTGTCAGGGAGATTCTTTGCTGTGTTGGCACAGTTGAACCTGGGTTTCGGATCCATTGACCTACCTTGGCAAGTGTGGTTATCTTCTGACAGAACCAGGCCCCTCGGACATTCACACTGGTATGTGTCTTCCACTTCAATACAGGCATGGCTGCAGCCTCCGTTGTTATTGTGACAACCTTCAATTTCTGCAAAAGAAAGGAAAATCAGCACATCCTGCTCTTCAGGCAACTTGTTGACAGTTATGCAGACCCCAGCATATACCCTCAGATGACTAACAAGCAGTATGACCATCACAAAGCTTGGAGGTGACAGCAGGGTGAGAGCTTGCTTCCAGAAAATGCTGGGGAAGCCTAATGTTATTGTCCAATTTCCTGTGTTTGCCATTTCACCATGAAGTTAACAAGGATTTCTGATAAAAAGCTTACTAAATTAAATCACATGCTATAAATCACATAAACAAAGAGGCTGAATAGGCAATCTTCAGCTTTGCCCTTTCCAGCTTCTGAGACATTCTCTTAATCTAAATTTTTATGTTGTTTCTTACTTTTTAAAAAAAGGAGAGGGAAATTCTCCTAGAAATTCTACCACATGGAACCCTCCATCACCAGAATTAAAGCCCTGAGATTTGCAGGGCAGGAGTCTACTACCAGGGAGGACAGACTTGGTGGTAGCAAGTAGCCAAGCTCCTCTCCCCAGCAGGGAATACCAGGGAGAAGATGACACCCTCTTTGTCTGGGGGGTTCCCAGCTCTGATAGAAGGGGGCACACTGCATTCCCACGTCCCCTTTGTAGGCTGAGGACGTGACTTGCTTGCAGAAGTTTGTTTAGCAGGAATTTTGCTTGTTTAGCGTGAGTTTCTGGCTTCAAGGCTGGGTATGCGGAGATGCGTTATCAGAGGGACCGAAGGACACATGTGCATGGCATAAGGTCAATTTGCCTCCTACGTTTCTCCTGTTCTAAAATGCACAGGAAAGAGGGCAGTACAGCTCCTACAAGAGATTCTCATGTTTTTCTTAAACCTTCTCTGTTTGAGTGAGGCAATTCTTTGAGAGTCTGAGTTTCCCCGTAAAATTTATTTCTAGCCATTACACAGCCACAGAAAAGAGCTCAAAAATGTCATCCGAGTGTATTCTCAAGATGTGAAAACCTAAAGCAAATAAGTCTGTTTCCAGTTGTTGTTGGCTTTCTATTATAGAGAATATAAGAAAGACAATATCATGATTTCTTTTCTTTTTTCCTAAATAATCTTCACCGCTTGATTTTTTTTAACCGTTTGGGACAAATACTGTCAGTCAAACCGTTGTACATATAACATACACAAATCATAAAGGCAAAATATTTCTTCCTAAGCCTGCCATCAGAAATAACTGTGTGGTTTTAGATGAAACGTAAAGAAAACAATGGAAAACCCATACTCAGTCCTATACCTGGCATGGAAAACAGCAGCCTGAACACTCCACACAAGTCAAAGTAACAGGTAAAGCATTACCTGCTTACCCCAACAGCTCCAAGTATAATTGCTAATCATCATCATCATGCAATCAAGCAAAATCTCTTGCATTCGCTCTCTTTAGCGACAGCTGTGAGGTGGCTCACAAGTAAATCACATACCCTAATGGCTCACAAAGCTGAGGGCACATCTTTAGAAATAAAACCTACTAACAAGATTGTAAACATCCCCAACAGCAGTATTAAACTTGGGAAAAGCACCATTCCTTTTACTAGACAGGAAATTAAATGATATAGCAAAGGCCCTAAAGTCTAACTTCAGGGAACAAACGTGTTTCCAAGCACAGGCTATTCCAGCCCTGTCAGAAGTGTGCAGTGCTCAGGAATAAAAATGGCTATGCAGCGCAGTTAGTTTATTGGACGTCGCACCAGCTCAGTGCTGGATGTGGAAGAAACAAAGCCCACAGGCCACTTACAGCCCCACCGGGGCTGTCAGCACCAAGGGACCTACTAGATAAGGGGCGCTCTGCGCAGCAGCTTTCTCCAGGCAAGCATCGTTGACAGGACTGGTGTTTTATTAACAGTCCCCTAATCTCTGCACCACAGATGTCTACCAAGCAGCAACTATTGCACAGTTGCGGGCAGGCTGCAGATGTATCTAATTCTGGCAGTCAGGTGGCTGGAAAGTCAAGGTTCGTCATACTCCTGCTTGAGGCCCCAGAGTAGCTGTGAACATTCTCCATAGCAGCTTTGCCTTTCAGGAGTCATGGTGCTCTTCATAGCTGACCACAGGGGACATTAGGCACAAGTCAATTTTTGCTGGTTTTGCCTATTCCTGCCTGAAGGTGTTGGTACATCTTAAGCGACAGCAGCTCAAAACCACATTTTGGTCTTAGTTTCTGTCTAGGCCCCTGCCAAAGTCCAAACTCAACAGGGGTTTTCAGCCTGGCTGTGCCACTGCTGGGGTGTGACCACCTGGAAGTAACTGCAGCAGTTCACACATCACAATCCACAGCTAACCACCAACAGAAAGCAAACAGTCGAAACGCAGCCCTCATCCTAACTCTAGCTTCAGCTCCCAGTCTAGCTCCCTCTCCCCTCAAACTCTGTTCTGGGAGGTGACGAGATCCTCACACCCTAGTCTAGACGTTACCCCAAACCTAATGCTAGCTGTCAAAAAACAGCGATGCTAAACCTGATCCGAGCAGTCAGCACAGTACAACTATCATACAAATCTCCAGAGTCAAACCCTGGCATCTCCAGCAGTTACAGGCTCTGTCTGGACAACCAACCTTCCAAGTCCACTGCTGCTTCTTTCTCCTCCTGGAGATAAATACAAGTGAAGGCTAAGAGTCATGAACAAGGCAGGGAGAACAACAGGAGACTCTGTTCTGCTTGATTAGGAGGATGTTTCAGTAATAACATCACTGGCAAGCACAAAAGCGATCTGAGTGACTTTTCACCTCAGCTGCCAGGAGCCAAGAGAGAACTAGTACTGCAAGGTGTTAGAGAAGGAAATCGTAATTGATTTGGCTTCGGCTTAGCATAAGTCTAACTCTTGCTTAGCACTAGTATCTAAAGTAGATGAAGCCTGCAGGCCTCAAGGCCAAAACTGCCAATGAACTCAGGAAACATGACAATGTAACCGCAAAACAGGTTAGAACAGGCTAAGGATACAAAACCAGCTAATAAGGATATAAAACAGGATGCAGGAGACAAGATGGGATGCACCTGGGTCGTGGTTGACCTTCGAGGAGATAAGGGACTATGAAAGATAAGGACACAGCAACCATCCTAGGATGTAGGCCAAGACCAATCAGAAGAAGAGAGATCACTGACTCAGTGAAGACTGGAGGATACCTTCACCGGCAGGCAGGGAAATAAGACTGTAAAGGGTATAATTACCCCAGAATTTCTTTGTTTGGGGTCCCTCCTTGGAGGCACCCAGCTCAAGCTGTTGCTTTGCTGTACTGCCAATTAAATAAATAATTATTTTTGCTGCTATTTCTGCATGAGACTCTGCTCCTTGGAAACCTAGGGTCGAGCTGTTTCCACAACAAAGGGAAGGAGAGTGATTTACATCATTTCCAGCAGACTGTGGTATCCGATACCTTTGCTCCTTCTCCTTCTAACTCACCTTCACAGGTTTTCCCATCGCTTCCCAGTGTGCGCCCAATCCCACACTCACAGCGGTAGGAGTTCTTCAGGTTAACACATAATTCACTGCAGCCTCCGTTTCCCTTCTCGCATTCGTTGTCATCTACAAAAAACACGAGGTCATTAACGTTCTTCCTGGTAAACACGTGCCTGGGAAAAAGGGGCTGCCATATGGGAGTGCTGGCCAGGTCACAGACTAGCTTTCCTGGCCTCATGACCCGGATCAGCGTAAGAGAGATTAGTAATCCCAGTATTTACTGACTCTAGCAGACTGTCCTGCCATGCTGTGCCCACCCTAGCAGAGCTGGGGTTAAAAAACAGCATGCAAACAGCAGCCATTTCAGAGAGGAGACAGACAAAGGCCCACTGGGAAACTTCCAAACTGGTTCCACGTGCCAAGGGAGTTCATGTTTCAATTTACCTTCTCATCTAAAACTCCTCCCTGCTCCACTCACAAAGACAATAAAGGAGTTAACATGATTTCACTGTGCGATAAAACTAGGTGAATACCAGAATCAGTCAAAAATAAACCTTATCTGTTTTTTTTATTACACCTGCTACTGCTACACGTGGCCAATTATTCTACAGCAATTTTAAACGATTCAATTCTTATTCTGAAAAGACACAAGAATGAAAAACAGCTATAAACATACAAACAAAGCTGAAATCAAACCAAAACATTTTAACGAATCCTATGAAACTTTCCCAGAAAAGTCACGTCATGAGAAATTTCATCATTTTGGCTTCTTGCCTCAGTTCCAACTGCTTCCTGCCCTGGACAGCCCAGGTGTTCCTGCAGGTCCTCACTGCAGTGAGACCTGACCTGGGGCGCTGGCATTGCACAGACCACCACGACCATTAGCTGCTCAGACACTCTGTACCAAAGGTGAGACGAAAAGCTCAGTTCTGAGCTTCTCCCTCCTGTGACTCAGTTTCTCACTGCACCCCAACAGCCCTCCCTGACTCGCTCCGCTCCTCTGCAGTCCTCCAGAGCTGCGGCACCTTCCTTTCCCATTCAGGAGAAAGAGAAATGCCTGAGCTGGCATTCTGCACTACCTGGAATGGACTCTAGATCAAGGTCTGGAGTAACCTTGAAACAGGCCTGAACTGAGTCCTTATAACCCAAAGCAATTTACCCACGAGCAGAACCTGTGTCATGTTTCTGTGTTGGCTGCATCGAATTATAGATCAGAGCCCTCCAGCGTGCTGATGGTATTTATCAATTTATTGAGAGAAAGAAAAGGACAGAAGATGCTTTTGATAAAGCTCTGAACGTTCCTCCTAATTTTCTCTATTTTAAAGGTTTAAGTTCCTTTTTTTTTTTTTTTGAAAGGTACTTTGCGATCTGAGATTCTCATTCTTCAACCTGATTTAATCTCTGTCAGTGGGCAAAATGTGAATCAATAGGAGAGAGGAAGGGAGGAAGGGAAAGTCATTGCTATATTGCTGGGCCACAAATCCAGTGATTTTTCTTAGGTAGGACAGAATGTTGAGGTCATCAATCAAGGTTCACATGGGGTTTCACCAAAACAGCTTTGAAGTTACTTGCTGACAGAAGCTTAAAAGCAAGGAAAAAGAAAAATACCATTTTAAGATACATGGTCAGAGATGAGGTCTCTCAGGTAAAAGCAGTCCCACACGGACACAGTACCAGCATCTTGCAGCTGGTGGTGTGTTCTCTTTCCGCAAGCAACATGAACTGGATATTCTTAGCAAAAGAAATGGCTGGTACCCTGCCGTGAGAGGCACAAAGCGTGTCCAGGAGAGAGACGGGCACAGTTCACTTTTCACAAATCTCACAGGCTCTACACTTTCCCTTCTAAAAATAAAACTAAAATTGCTTGAAAGCTGAGGGTGAAGAGGGAAGGGGCTACAGACAAAGGCATAGAGATGCTGTTAGAAGGTCCTAGTGCCTAGCTTAGTCAAAGGCTCTACCAAGCAATTCTCCTTGTGGGTCCTCCAAGCTCTGCAACATCCAGCAGGTTCTGTCCCAAGCAACTTCAGTCCTTCCTCTTCCACAGCAGTGACTACCAGCACTTCTGGGTCACAGGCTGGTTTTCCTGAAACTAGCTTGGGAATGAACTGATTTTAACCATGACTCAGTCTAGCAGGAATCCACACCTCCAGGAGGTAAAAGGCAATGCACGGAGCTGGCTGACCAGTGACAGGAAGTCTAAGACCTAGCTCTAACCCCTAAGTGAGTCTGCAAATGAACATATAAATTTGGATCAGCAGTTCTGCTCTGGGATTCAAAGCATATAACGCACTGAAGAGAAGTCAGCCTAGTACAGGGAAGATTCACAGACCTGCTTAGCATTACTGCAGCATCTCCAGCACCCAGTGGGCTGGGAAAGGAAGAAAAGGCATAGGATGTGTTTGGGTTTTTTGGAAGGCCAACAGGATTGCTTTCAAAGTAAATGTGATTGTGCCATTTCTCAGCACAAGAGAAACTCATTAGAAAGATGAGTGAGCCATATGACAAGAGAGGCTGCAGGTAGGCAAACCAGTGTGATTATTACTGCTGAGGTGTTACACCATCCAGTTATCACAGAGAGAAGCAGCAGTGGGGAAATCCTACCCAGCCTTGCCATGGGGGAATGAAGGCTGCTCCAGCACACATGGACACGCTCAGGATTCCTCTATGCTTCTCTGCTGCAGGAAATCCCACCTCGCAAGCCTGCCACGCGTTTACTGAGCGTTGGGGCTCGTCAAGGGCACTTCTGTGCCTGCAAGTCTTGCAGAGAAGTAGCTGATAGATGTTTTTAATTAGCTGTGAGAGCTAAGTCAGCCACTCAGCTGCAGAGATGTGGAGCAGCTTTGGCAAAACCTTTCTGCAGAAATGGTGTGAGCAAACGTAAACCTGCAGCAGGGCTGGGGTGCTATCTCCAGGGATTTTAACAACTATAGCCACTGCCTCAATGCCCACAGACATGAGGAGTGTGAAGAAAGAAACCGCCCACGCCTGCTTTGCCAGCCAGAGTCCATATGGGAATGAGTGATTTGCCACACAGCCTCCCAGAACAACTCTGCTCTTGACTCCTCCATCAAATCGAGCCTCAAAGACAGAGATGAAAGCCCACTTCCCCACCGGCACGCCTTTCACCCTCAACATGGCCTCTTCTCATCTACTAGTGTGGCTCTGCAGCCCCCAGACAGCCACCCTTCCCCAGCCCCTTGCACTGCCCCACAGATAGTCTCCTCCTAGGACCTCACAGCCCAGCTGCCCTCCTCCCAGTGCCACACACAACCAGAGCTATCCTCTCCTCACGGATTCACAGCACCTCACAAAGCCCTGAAGCCCACCCTCCCCACTTTGTTCTCACAGCCCTCTGGCCTCCCCTCCAGCCTTCCACCTACTTCTTTCCTGCTCCACTTGCCCATGATGCTCATCTCTGCCAGCGCAGTCGCCAAGTGCTGGCCCCCTGAATCCTACCTTGTCATGCTGCCTAAAAGCCATTCAGGCTGTGCTGCACTTTAGGACCTGCACTCCTTTAGGTCTTCTCAAATCCCAAGCCCTGGACAACGCCCCACAAGGACCGTAAGCATATTAAAGCCTAGTGTGTAGCCCCACACCAGCCAAAGAGACCATTCTTGGAGGAAAGAGTAATTCAACAGAGTGGGTGAGAGGACGTCTCTAATGACAGATTGCAAGGCAGCGTCTGAATACAGTGAGACTGCTCAGCGAGCTTGCACAGAGTCTCAGCTACCGACAGCCAAGCTGCAGCCCTCAGCATGGGCTCGTCATCCAACCTGCTGCTGGAGCATGCAGAAAGCAAACTTAGCCTCCGTAACTGCATAGCTCCAGGGGCAACAGAACGTATTCGGTCGTGAAATGTTGTATTTCCTCCTGCAGGGAGAGACTGGGGATCGTTTACAGAACCAAAAGCCTGTTCTAGGCAGCAAGGGGGAAAATTCATCTCAGGCATTCTTTTCCTTTTTTATTTTGCTTTTTAAGACAATAGACTGAGATGGGAGCAATGAAACAAATGGGAAAGAAAGCACCAGTAATTGACCTGACTTATTTCCATCCTTACCAAGACAGGTCTGTCCATCAGGTCCTAGCGTTGTCCCTGGGGAACATGTGCAGTCACTGGTGTCCAGGCAGGAGCCCTGGCAATCCACCACATCGCAGATGTCATAGAAATCTAGGGCAGGGCACGACAAGAGCGTTGTCAACACAAGCCACTGAACACCACTGAAAATACTGTACTTGTACTGTCAGCTTTACGTCCTGCATCCAGTCCATCAGTCACAGACCTGGCCCACATTAGGAAAGCTAAACTGCTGAAGCTGATCAGAAACAATCTGCCTTAATTACTGCAAGGCACAGATGCAAATTTCGGCTTTGGTAGCATGCCAAGACAAACCAGAGGGCCCTCTGCAAGTGTTAAATCATTATGGCCGGGTCAGCTATGGAAGATTTACGGTAGATGAACAAAGACTGGAATTCACATAAGTGAAACTGTCTAATCGCTCTCACGTTGACAGGCCACCATCTGCACTGCACCATCTGACACGCTCCTGCGTGAGAAAGCAAGAAGCTGGTCACCGTCTCAAGGATACAGGCACTTGCTGCCCCTCCTGCATCACAAGGAAGAAGAGGTTTCAGGAAAGAGATATCAGCAGTTACTTACGCCCACAGTACGCATGGAAACAAACGCTGGGCTTGGTTAAGTGATAGACGTAGTACCCGCCTGGACACGCCTTGACGTCAATGGTGGTATTCCAGAGGCAGCAGTTGCCGTTGAAGCTGGCGCAGGCTTGGCGGGGGACGATGCCATCCGACTCTTGCGGGTGGCTGCCGTTCAACCAAATGGGAGCATGGGTCCCACAGTGGTTCTCAGGGATACAAAAGGTAGGCATGGCATCGCCAGCCATGCCAGTGAAGCGATACCACTCCCCATCTATTTGATTGTCACAGGTGGGCTGGCCATGGGAACCATTTATCTGATGATCTGTGTTCCTCCAGGGCTCGTTCAGGCTGATGTAGGCAGAGCAGGGGTCCAGAGCTGAGACATGCAGTATGGGACAAGAGAGAACATCTGGTAGATATCAAACCAAGCTGCTGACTGATAATTGCAAGAAATGCAAGAAACACAAAACAATTTCTTTTCCCGTTCCAGACTTGACAGAATCCTTGTGATAGATAGAGAACCCTGGGAAGAAAAAGCGATACCAGCTAACTAATTGCCTCACGGAAAATTCTGACAGCTTGGCTTAAATGTCTTGGAAGAAAAAGCAAACTAAAATAGAGCTCTTACAACATTACGCAACAATCTGACTTGCTCTTTAGCTGCTGTAGGGTGTGACAGGAGAATACATATAAGCAAACCTGAGTTCCAGGGGGTGATTTTGCCACAGAAAATATGTACTCGGAGCACTAGATCAAGCCTGGGACATTCCACCCTTTGGTCAGGTGCTAAGTGAGCACCTGTAATCCTGTCCTGAAGTCACTCATAACCCTCCCACATGCCTTGGAGAAGAGGACCAAGCTGCAGACAGGTTCTGCAGCCTCTCTAAAAATCCATTCACAGCTCATTTCAGCTCTCACAGTTGCTATAACCACAAGCCTTGCAAAGCACCAGTTATAAAGCAAACAGAAAGTAAAAAAAAGTGATGGTCATCACGGCCTTATATAATTGTAAGCCACTGTAAGCGTCATTATTAGCTCCTGTTCATTTCAGGACACAATTTCAAACAGTTAAAACATAAGAACTGCTATCCCAGGTCAGAATGAAGTCCATCTACAGTCCAGCAGCCTGACTCCTACCAAGAGCAGATGCTTAGAGAGGTGATGTATGAGAAAGAAACTCTGCTCTGTTTACCTGGCACCTGGTTTTCCGCTGTCACTCCTATAGCCGTGTACATCTGCGTCAAGTGAGGTTAAAGGGCTATAACCCCAATCTGTGTGCTCTGTAAGATGCTGCAGTAGGACTAGAGAGGGAAATGGCAATCCCTATACTTCAAGATCTGCTTAGATGTGTCTCAGTCTTCCTCGGGGGCTCCGTCCCCAACTTTCCCTCTCTGTCAAACGCTAACCCTCTCTATGAATCACAACATTTACTGAGATTTGTATGACAATGTTCTTTGCGTCCCTGCATGCAAAACAACCTCCCATATCTCTAAGTTTCATACTTTGTGTTTCTTCATTATTTCAAAATCTAGAGAGCATGAAGCTCTGAATCAGGACCTTCTAGGGGGCAAAACGTTCAACTGTTTCTGCAGTCTTGTTCCTTGTGAGTCCACAGACCCTCCTTCATCTCCATATGAGAGCAGATGTTTGTGAGTGAATGTGTAGGCAATATATAAGCAAATGGACCATGTGGTATCTTCATGTCTGTTCACGCAGCGTTCAAGGAGCGTGTCCCTTTTCAGAAGCCTTTCTGAACCTTCTGCAAACAACTAAAAAAGAAGAACACCATAGGGAGAAAAAAGGAAGAATGAAAGTGCTCATGACATTTTCAGCCTTCTCATAATTAACCCTGATTTGGCAACTTTCTCAGTAAAAGTCAAGAGATTGCATTTTCCTGTACGTTTAATACCTGATTAAGCACCACTTACCCACGACTAGCTATTCCCTATTAAGCAAAATGAATGTTAATATTGCCTTGAGAGAGGAAAATTGATTACCGTTTGCTAGAATTAGGCTAATAAAACCAATCACTCTAATTAAATGCATCTCAACAGACTGGAGACTTGCACACTGTACTTTCTGTACTACATTTCTCTTTAAGCTCTAGAAGTACTCTCTCTGCTTGCTTTGTTTAAACAATGAGGTGATGCAATTTGGGGGGAAAAAAAGACATTGTATTGTCTCCAGTAAAACACTTTGGACGAAGACAAACCTTGGTTCAGTATTCTGATTTGCTTCACTGACTTTAAAGTGGGAACTAAATGCTTTTGAGAATGGATTTCATTCAGCCTTATTTAGGTCCTTTTGCAAATAGCTGCTTCACTGACACACTATCTTCTACCTTCTCACAAACATATCATCTCTCTTGACAAACATCCTGACATCATCCTTGGCCATAGCTACATTTCATTTGACTTTGAGCCCAGCATAAAAGACAATTGCAGGTGTCAGGAGAGCGCTGCAGAGCTGCAAGCTGGCAGGGAGAGAGCAGGCCTGCGTTGCAAAGGAAATCTCTAGCGCCATAATTCATGAGATACGCAGAGAAGCAGATTTAGTCCCACCAGAAGCAGCCCTTGGTTCTACTGAACAGCAGAGAGACCTGTCGCAAGAATCTCTGATGAGACTCGCAATTCTTCGTGCACTACTTTACCTGCCTTTTCTTGCCTCCCCTTATCCACAGGCAGCACTGTTAAATTGCATCCTCCAAAAGGTTACTTGACCCCTCAGACAGGAAGAGATCAGTGACTTGCACACAGCTGCAGAGAGCTTCCCCTCTGGGCTTCCCTCAGTTTAACTCACTTGGTTTCCACAACGTGATTTCGTTTGGCTTTAGGGTGAGTCACTAAGATTAAAAGCTTTCTGTGTTAAAAGCCAAACAGGGCAAGGAGAGGAATGCCCTGTTAACTCTCCAGCTGGGCAGCACCAAAAATACGTACACGCTCACTAGCTTTCATACAATGTAATTAACTTTTATAAAGTACCCTTTTGTAGATAGAATCTGCAAGCACGCATCCAGAGAGATTGTTTCCTAAACAGACCAGAGATAACTCAAAGGCAAAATTTACTCAAATGAAGATGTAGGGGCTCAGAGAGAGCTAGAATAATGCATTTCAGGGGAATGGAGTAGCACACCCTCCCGTCCTTCTTGTCTCTGGAGAGTTTCAAGCAGGAGCAAAGGGGAGGCAGACAAGCAGAAAAAGCAGGCAGTGCTTTTTCAAACACTGCAGACCTTGGCGGCCATCCTCGGGCTGCCAGGGCTGCCCCAAGACACCTCCCTGCAGACACCAAGTGTTCTTGGAAAAGCAGTTTACGGAAAAATAATTTAAGAAAAAACTGCAAGAAAATAGGACCAAACAATCAATCTTTCATCTCTCTACCCAAACAATGAAAGCATGGGAACCTTGCACAAGATGTACAACAGTCTCCAGCCCTCTCAGTTTTTCATTTTTCTTGGCTCAATTTTTTTCCTCCCCAGCACTTTATGCTTGGCCTGGGTAATTCAGCACGACAAGAGCATTAACGATCACGTAGAGCTGTTCAATTTGTAATCTTGATGATATCATTAATTCTCTGGCTGACATTTTAACATATACATTGGATAACAGATCAGACTAATAAGCATTCCCAAGTCCACCATTCTTCAGAAAGGTTAATCCTCTATGTATTGTTTAACTAGAGGGCTCTGCTCTGATAAGCATAAGCAATGAAACGAGCAGCACTGCATTATGACTCTAAACTCAGGTAAAATTCGCCAGGTGAGTGGGTGAAAAAAATGGCATAATATCTACTCATGGAGCCTCCACTGCTAAGGGAAAGGAAAATTCCCCAGTGCTTTAAAGACCTTGACAGTAGGGATTCTCATAACACGGGCTCTGAAACAGAAATGCCTTTCTAAATGCAAAGAATTTTGCACCACCTTCAGTAAAAAGGATATTATCTTGTATGCCAGCTTTTCACCTAAGAATACCAAGGCTCAGCATGAACCTTAAAAGTGAGAACAGAAATAAGCTTGAAGGCAATACCTCTCTACTCACCCATCGAAGACACTGGCTGCAACCGGACAACGAAGCAGGCAGAGAAAAAAAAGTACTGGAACATCCCACTCAGCCAAGGAACAGTTGCTACTCAAGTAACAGATTTGAAAACCCTTACACCCACTGCGGCTCTTGCAGTCTTCCTCTTGGTAGAGCTTCTGACCCCAAGCTTTCTGAACAGCAACTGGGATAGCTCTCCTGGAGATTTATCAGAGGAAGAAGCTGAAGGGATATGGGGTACAGGTCCAACCTTGACCTCCTCAGAGCAGCTCTTGCCCCTTACTGACAACAGAGATGTACTTACTGATCGATTTTGTTTTTGGACTCACCCCGCTATTGTTTTCTTGCCCGACTGCCCCATAGCGACACCTCCACTATCTTATCTGGAGAAGAATTCTGAGCAGGGGACACCCAGACATCCTGAAGGGATGGAGAAGAAAAGATTGGTGCTTGTTATCTCTGCTCCTTCCACAAGTCATATGACTTCACGGCTTCCCCCAGTCAGAAAACGCCAGCTAGAGAGCCTTAACTGCAGGAAATAGTGGCCAAAGGAAAAGTGAGCCTTCCGAGCAGAGATTGCAGACGAGTGCCTCAAGTAGTGCTACAATAGGAACATCAGTCAAAGTGAAGGACTAGTGTCCTGCAGAGAAACAAGCTGTTCTCATGTTAGACAAGACTCTTTCCACTCCTGGTCGCTTACCCTGACCACTTTAGCCAGATTATTAAAGAAGTCTAATAAAGAAGTTTCCCTGCAGTGCTCTTGTGTTCTCTGCCTTCAGGGGAAAAAAAAAACAAACCCAAAAAGTCAACATCCAACAAGTGCTGAATTTACTTCAATGCAAAACTGAAAAATTGAAAAACTTCTGCCTTACTGGTTCAAACCAAACTGGGTGGAGTTGCAGATCACAACTATGTGCTCTGGGTACAGATGAAATGAATGTGCTAGTCCCCAGCTTACTTCTTAAATCCTTTCTCTACTAAAGCAAAGCAAGCTCCATGATGAGCAGCAAGAGATACCAAGGACAACTGGAATGAACAGAAAGGGACCTTTGCTCTCTTCCTACTAGCTGTAGCTCCTCCTCAGTTGCAGAGGATAGATTCATAGCTGTGTTTTTAATATATATGTATGCAGATGTATGTATACGTATACACACACATACATACATACACACAGGTCTCGCTTGCTATTTGAACAATAGTTCAAACCCTCCCCCAGGCAGAAAGCTATCCATCGGCAAAGAGTACAGTTAGCCTCCACCAATTCCACAATCAAGCAAGTGTGGCCATTTCCCATTTCTCTCACAGCCTGCATTTCTGCAGCAGGCTGATGCAAGGAAGAACTTGGAGCCTGACGTCCTTGCTTCAAGTCAAGTGGAAAAAAAAAATCTTGGCTCCGTTTTTCTTAACTTGCATTGCACAAGATGGGAAGTTGGGTACATGCCTGCTTTGCATAGAGGTGGCACCTATACTTTACACTGCAGAAAGTCCTCAGTGGTCTCTCTGTCTGGGTGTTCCCTTGGCAGTGAAGTGCTATGTGCTGCTCTGCTCCACCCTAGCAGTCGAGGGTTTTTTTTTAAGTGGTGAATGACTCCAGTGAATGATGAAAGAAGCTTTATAAGTGACTATCATTGCTCCCACCAACAAAAGAAATCTCTGTGGTTATATTGTGCTGACAGCTGCGCAGTACCAGAAAGTTTTTTTCAACAACAGGAAAGGAGAACAAAGTCATTATATGCAAAGCTAGCAGGGCAGATAACACTCAGAGGTGATTATGTGAATTCCCAGAAGAGAAACTAAAATTGAACAGAGAATAATACAGCAAGCCAGAGGAAGTTGTATTTTGCTATTTTCATTCAGAGTTTGATTTATTCTTATGATCCCAGGTAAATAAAACTGACAAGTTTGAATTGAATTTTCTATTTGTGTTAGAGGTGTGCATATTTCTCTCTGGACTGTTTCATTACCAGCTGTCTTTATTTTCGGAGGTGGTGCATTAGGTCTGACAAGATAATGTTTTGACAGTTATGTCCAAGTGACTGACAACTGACAATTAACATATGGAAATAAACCGCATCCTAATCCCCTTTCACACAGTTCTAAAGCCTCTAGGGTCTCAAAACAGCACCTTTCAGGCTCTCCAAGAAGGACTAAGAAAGGAGAGGCCCCAGCGTTCCCAAAGTCAACACTTCCAAAATCACAAGTATCTAGTTCAAAGAAAAAGTCTAAAGCTACAGAAGGTCCAGTGTGCTGCCTCCAAGCATCCTTGGGATCCACAGGAAAGACAAAGATCATGTGAGACTCCAGGAAGAAACACCAGAGGCAGCTCTTTTATTACTTTTGCATGGTCCCTCTGCTGACATCCATAGTTCTGGTTCCCACATCAATAATAGCCGCCTGTATTAGAGTGCAATCCGGACCAGTGCAAGTCTTTGCCTCAAGGAACTGGAGCACTTACTCCCAGTAGGAAAAAGGAAAAATTGATCTTTTGCCTAACAGAGTCTCCAGAGGGGGAAGAGAACTCAAGACCAAGCAAGTGCTCTAGATACCGTAGGGCCTGCACTCCTTAGACAGATCTGGTAAACCTACTTTTCCTGACCTCTGCTTCCACTCCCGCGTGGCTTGACACCTTGGATTGAGGCACCCTCAGAGATTAGCCAGCCTGAGTTCCCAAGCAGAGAGAAGAATTGGGATCACTTTAGTATTTCCTAAAAGGAGCTGTCAGTGCAGGTAAAAAGATGCAAGGGGCAGAAGACGATATTAAAATAAATAGAGACCTGGGATTTTATTTTGGTACTCAAGGGAGATGACCTTCGAAACCTACCCCAGTCTAAGTCCAGGTATGTCTATTCTAAACACAAGAAAGAGTGCTGGAAAATAGAGAGCTAGTTTTTGTCTTATGCGCGTTCTCCGGGTTGGACTCATTTAGGGCAGAAGCAGCTAGGATAGCTGAAGAGGAAGCAGTTAAGACAGTTCCACGTCTGTAGTTTTGTAGGTGGCAACCAAACCTCTCACCTCTCCCAGAGGTGTAGACAGCTTAACCTCACACAAGGAAGCTGAAGTCTTCAAAGAGTCGGCTAGGCTGGAAAGCATCATGCTGCTTGTTTATAATGGACTAGTGAATAAAGACCCTCTAGTATTTGCTGAAGCTGGCCTTTTCCCTTCATCAGAGCCACCTCTCAAGACACACCAATGACTGATGAAAAGTGAGGCGTGTCAAGAAAAGCCTTTGCTGTAGGAGCGTAACTAGTGTAGCCTGTCTAGAAGGGGCAGGCGGAAGAGCTAATCAGCACTTCCTGCCGCTGAGAGGCCGACATATGCGACAGGATCCCTGTCTGCAACTGATTTGAGGATGTATGTTTACAATAAGCCTTGACAGGCTGCTGAGATGGATTGCAAGAATGTCAAGGACTTCTAGATAGCTCTTGTTTCTGTAAACAGTTTGTCCCAGGACACAGTGCCAATGGGAAGGGCCATTGAGATCAGGGAGTGAATACGAGTTTGGTGAAGAATGAGCATGTTCAACAAGTAAAAAAAAATCAAGATCACATTAAAATCAAATAGAACATGACTCCCCGTGAAGAGCACTTATTATCTCCTTTCACTTACAGGAGCCCCGTGATGCTGAACTTGGTATTTTGAGGGTTTTTTCCCCAGAGGTTCTACAGAGCCCCGTATTTTTTCCTTAATCTTCAATTTGAAGATGGAGAAATCCACGCATAGAGATGGCATAGCCACTACCACTAAACCAGTCAGTAGCAGAAACAGGAGCAGAACCTATCTCTTACAAGTTCAGAGTCACAATGCTACACCATAGCACCAGCTTCTCTTAATACTTCAGGACTAAGGTATATAGCAAGTTCAATTTTCATTCCCATATTCTAATTCTCACCCCTTTAATGTCAGTAAAGAAATAAAACTGAAATAACTGGAATCTCTAGGGGTGGATAGAAATATATTTAAAATACGAAAAAGCTTCTACCTCAAGCGAAAAGGGAAAATAGAGGCACACAACGTGGCACAGTAAACAGCGCTTCAGATTTACGATTCCACACAAAAAGTAGATCAAGTAAAATGTTCCACTTACTCAGAAGAACATCACAGGGTAGCCAGCTTACTTGACTGACATACTGCAAAGATCTGACAGCCAACAGCAGTTTCAGAGTATCATACAAACCCTCTTAGAACCAACATGGAAAAAGAGCAAGAGCTCGTACAAGGTAATCACCACCACTGCCTTCACGTAGGAAGAGCTACAGGGAAAGATAGAGAAGGTTTCTTCTTTGGTCTTCAGAAACAAAGAGCCACGACACCTCCCCCTAGAAAGGCTTGCAAGCTAGGACCTTGCAGGCATGGCAAAAAGCAACCTAACGAACTTCTCCAGACAATTATAAGTTGTACATGTATTTATTTGCAAGCTCCCTCATATCAAGGAAGGGAAGAGAGGTTAAACAAATGAAAACTGAAGTTAGTAGGAAGAGAAAAGTAGCAGCTGAGCACTGTAGCACACGTCGCTGTTTATCCATCATTGGGTTGTAAGAACAGAGTGCTGCAGTAAGATTCAAGCAGCGTTGCCTGCTCTTAAAACACTTCCAGCAGGACATGACACTGTTACCCGCCTGGCTTATAGACACGAAATATCTACTGCAAACCAGTTTGTCAACGTTGCTATAAAACAACATAAAGGAGAAGAATGAATATCGTCCTCGTGAACGTTACCATTCGAGGAGAGCAAAAGCAGAAGCACCAAGATTTGAGTTCCTGAGGTCTGTGGTGTGCCACCCAGCACCAGCAGAGACAACATGCACTTGGAAGTGCAGGGAGGAGTAAGAAAGCAAGCTTCCAGGGGTACAGACAAACAGGAGCCCCCCAGGGGAGCCCACGTTTCAGGGCACAGGTGTAGATTTAGTTTACTTCTCCTTTCGCCACACCATCTCTAAAACAACATCAAGGCATGTGCAGGTACAATTTTGTCACAGCATTTTCCTGCTTTCAAAATATTTTAGTGGCAGATGTCCAAGTCTTGAGTTCTTCTGGATGCCAATTCGGACTAGTTCTTATGCCACAGGGAGGGTAGCAGCTCACCTATACAGGGCAACAGGCTAGCAGCTGCTGGGAGGAAAAGGCTTTTTATTGTTGCACTAAATTTCAATAGTAATTAAAGGCAGGTCACATTGACTAACAGCTTCCAGTCCCTCCTCTCTGTTTTAAAATCCCAAAAGAGGCCTATCTGAAAACTGGCCAATAAGGGATTCCACAATCAACACACATCATGATAAAAATCTTCCAGCATCTAACATCTCACCCTAGCACCCTATAAACTTGGGACAAAGTACACCCTCTGCTGATTTCCAATCTCGATGAACGAAAGAGGTCATCATTACAAACCAGACCATAGCCATTCAAGGGCCCCAGGAGAAAGGGACAAAAATCTTAAAACTTCAATTTTCCTCTGAAAATGGAATGCAATATAGAGCCTTCTAACTGAAATACGCTTGACACCATTTGATATGTTTGAGGTTGCTAGGTGTTAACGTGCCCATGTATATATTCTTATCCTGCAACCTGCCATATGGCTCCAGATTTTGTTAGCTTCCACAGGGAGCTACTCCGCTGGTCAAACAAGAGTAGACCTTTAGTAGACCAAACAGCTCTACATCTATCTCACCACCTCGACTGCTCCTGAGATCCCTGTGTTACGCAGCTAGATATGGCAGCAAGATCTCCATCCAAGCTTCTTCAGGAAAGCTATTATCTGCACCACCACGGCCTCAGTGATGTAAGGTCAGGAAGAAATAACCTAAACAAAGAGAAACGAAGGAAACTCAGGAGACAGCTGCCACATATATGTTAATCTTGTCTCAGCTGGGGGAAATAAATGTTATTCAAGAGCACAGATTCAAAAATTGAATAGTTATTTATTGTTCCAGAAGTACATTGCTCTTTTATACATATTTCATAAATGATACAGGATTTTACACATGTTCAGTATTTTTTTTTTCTTAAAGAAGGACTTTTCTCCATGCTCCCTCCCTCATCCCAAACACACACCAAGGATTCAGCTACAGGATTGTGTTCATTTTTTTTCCCTTTAAAATCATCACCCAAACAGGATAAAACAGATTAAAAAAAAAATCACACAATATAATTAAATTGAAAGACAGAGGGAAAAGGGGAGGGGGTAAAACTAGAAACATGCACCCATTCAGTCCAACATGCCATTGAGTGAGAAGAGGCAGCAATCCCAGCTGTGTTTCCACATCTGCAAGGCACCTGGCGTCTGGTTAATACTGATTTTTTTTTTTTCAGACATGGTTCTCCAAAAAATGGAAGCCTCTTGCCATGACACAGTGAGGAGTAGTAGTGAAACGTCAAAAAAAGCAGCCGGCTTTTCCATATATAAAGCTTAGTGCATTTCTCCCACCTTCATCCTGTCTCCACAGCATTTATCAGCAGGATGCTAAAAAAAGAGGCTGACCCACTTCAAAACAAGAGATGTTTTATCTGCTTAGAAATCAGTCAGTCTTGGCTAGGAGAGAGGGCAACGGCTTGACTTCCCTTCCTCTATTTCTTTTAGCTAAGAACAAGCGATGTCATTAGCCACTCCTAAGAAATCCTGATCTGTGGGCGCAAAGTTCATTTAAAGCTACTTAAGTAGGGGAAAGTGCACTAGGGAACTGAAATAGTTCTGTCTTGCACTGTAAGAGGCCTGGGCTTTCAAAAAGCCTCCCAACAAGGAAAATGTTTTGATCATGTGTGAGACCTTTTATCTTGTTACACAAGCAGTCAAATATCAAGTTTAATTATTCCATGTTCCAACACTGTTCAGTTAAACAGGAGTCATGATTCTGAGCCAGTTTCATAATCCTTTAAGTCTTCATAATTTCACAGTCCAGGTGGCTATCAGATCTGGGGTGGGAAGAGGGGAATCTCCCTCTCTTAAGACTGAATATAAAAACTCTCATGCAATGCTGCCATTGATTTCTAGGAGGAGCTCAAGAGCACTGCGACTCAAAATTTATGTAGTTAAGGAATAATCCAAAATATCAATTATCAAATGTCCAGAACAAAACTTGTTCCTTCTCTCACTTGGCTACAATCAATCTGTGCTACAAATAAGCAAAGGAGGAAGTCAGTGGAGCACATGGGGTGGGCTGGGGAAGAGAAGCTCACGGTTTTCCAGTAGAAAGCAGTCTTGTAGTAACTTTATAAAAGAGACCAGGTCTGATCAGAAGTGTGCGTGTTAATGGTGATGGAGCGCAAGTTCCGATCACCAGGCATGGCTCCAGGTGGCTTGGATTCTGTGGGTTTTTTTTTTCCCTTTTTCTTTTTTTGAGAGAGAAAGAGAGAGATCTGAATCAGATAAAGGAAAATTTAAAAAGCTAAGCAGGCTGCTGGTGTCTTATCAAGGGGCAGACCCTGCAAAACTGGAAGAAGACACCCCTATCCCAGCATTACATTCTTTTCATGAAACCCCCCCAATCCTGTATTTGTACATAATTGTCATTCAGACAGTTTTAAAGGTGACTATTTGCCAAGCCCTTTTCAGAGCTAGGCATTCCACAATGCCCCATCTTCCGATTTAAGATGTTTCCCTCCCTTACAGTCCTTTGTCTTGATTAAAGGTAAAAACCCTCCACCCTGACACCATCTCCCAGCTTCCACCTGCAATGCTTTAATTAAAAAGGCAAGAGCTATGAACAGGTTTTTTGCCGGGGTTCAGAGCTTCTTGGCTGATCAGTCCTTTTCATCAATTTGCTGGATGGGCAGGTGAACCTGCAGTGGATCTCGAAGCCTCTTAAGGTCCAATTCTGCCTAAAAGTAAAAAATATATTATAAAGAACAGGCTCCCAATTCACCTTCTCCAATCCCATGCCCCTCTACAAAATGGAAAGCTTTTTTATATTTCCTTGTTTCTCCTATCCAGGAGGGAAGCGGATAAAGAGTAAAACAAAGTCACAGGCTGAGATTTAGGGAAAACCATTTCCAGCACTTCCTGAAAGATCTTGGCTCTGTATCTCTCGCAACTTGCCTACATTCAACCACTAAGGAAAAAAAAAAGAAAAGAAAAGAAAAAAGAAAAGAAAAAAAAACCCATGCTGTGACTGTAGCAGAGCCAAAACCTAGAGGCTGCAATTGAGATGTGCAGATCTACCATGTGGAAGAGCTGTGCTTTGTGAAGGGAACTAAAGTAAAGAAAAATAGTAGGGAAGATATGATCTGCATAAACTCACTGAGTCCTCATCTCCCTCACTCTTTAGAAGTACATACACGCTCTAGTTAATGAGCATGGTTGACACTAGAAGAAAACACAAAACAACCCGCAAAACTTAAATCAACTAAAAAAACCAAACCAAATAAACGGGATCAGTATTCGACACAGCCTGAGAAAACTGGGTTTTTTTCATTCAAAGCACAGTCTTGATCTCTGTCTACTCCTCACGTAGCTCCTCCTCCAAGGCAAGGAAAGGACAATTTGCCCTGAATATCCTACACTGTCGTTTCCAGAGCCCGTATATAAGCAGAGAATGATATGGAATAGGGAAAAGAGGATGTGGTAGCTCTGCTCTTTCTGCTCCTGTCTCCCTTCCACAGAGGGAAATATCTGATCCCGTAATGCAGACAGACTGCCACAACGGCCTTCAACTAGAATATGAAAAATCCGCTCTCATCTCCTCTAACAAGATAGCTTCACTTTCGAACACTATTTTCCAGGTCTGCAATCCCGGGTACTCAAGTGTTATGTCAGCAGGACGTGAACTGAATGGATGCAAGCCTTCACTCTTCACTAAATCTATCTGGTGTGTAGGAACAAAGAAGAAAGGAAATCTTGAACTAGGGCCCTCTTAGGGCCAAGTGCTTGAAGCAATTCAAGATTTGCCAGCAGTTTCTAAAAGATCCTTATGGATAGATCCAGGCAACTCTTTGATGTTGATTTATATATCCAGCAACTCCATTCCTGGGCAGATCAAAGCCAATTCAGTGATTGCATTGGGGCTGTGACAAGAAAATAGGCCGAAAACTTAAGGCATCCATTCTTCTTTGAGGTGCATCTATTAATAGCAGCTGCCAAACCAACAAGCAAGCTAGGTTCTTTGTCTTTTTAGTTCTGGAGAAATTCTCCTTACCTGAGCGATTGCATCCTTGAGTTGATTGTATTTCTCTAGATCAAATCGTGTCTTTTTGGCTCCTTTATGGAAAAATAATAAGTACTGTCTGTCTCTGGCATCTGGATAAGCATACTCCTAGAAATAGACAAGGAGAAAACATAAGAATAAAGCATCCCAACACAGGATACAATTCACCCAGCATGTATCAGATGTGATTTTGGGAGGATAACTAATTTCTGTCAATTAAGACACAAGACTAGACAGCATTGTCTAAGCTCAGCCAGGCATTTGCTCCTTTCCCTGGTGTGTTCTTATACTTTGATGGCGAGTTGCAGTAGCATCTCTCCTGTCCTGAATGCGTGCATCTTTCCGTGCATAAAGAACAAAAACTAAAACGTTTCACAGGGTTCTCACCCGCTGGCAGTTGGGAGATGAACAAAAAAAAAGCTACAGTCTAAAACATCAGGCTAACTATTCTTTTACCTCCCAGTGTTAACAACCTGCCTCTTTAAAAAAAAAATACCAGAATGAGCCTCTGTAATATAGCCTTTACTTGCTTTTTCTTAGCATCATAAATACACAATGGCTAATTAAAGCAACAATAGTTGAGTTCATCACAACAACAGTTATGAGTTCATCTCTCCACCAAGCTGCGCAGGCAAGAACAAAAATCCCATACCATAGCTTTTGCCAGGGATACTGCACTGCAACAAGTCACAGCTTTTTAGAACATGAAGGTAACTCAGAGCAGCAGAGCTCGGAGTCAACGGGGCACAGTCGATGCTGTTCAGTTGAATCCCACACAACCTCTGCAAAGCACAGGTCTGTCTGCTGAAGTAAACTATCCCTTGCACTAGAATATTACGCCATCTCTTTCTCTGGCATGCGTCCAGCGATGATGGTAAGATTGTAAGATGGAGAAAAGCTGCGTTCAGAGGCAAGCCATCCCTGAACTACTGAGGTTTTAAGTCTGTCAGAAAGGGTACCAGTTGAAACAGACTTGATCAAAACATCAACTCTGAGTTCAAACATGACAGAAGTCCCAAATGGACTTGGCAGAAAATAATGTTGACAGTGGCACATGTGTCCTCAATCCTTGAAATCAGGCAGCTGACACGGACCCTTGGGAGACTATGCTGGAACACCCACAGCATCTATTTTGGTGGTCTGAGACCCTCTGAGTCCTTCCTCCCTCATCATTTGGGTGGGATTATGAAGGAGTGATAAGACAAACCACGTACTAGAAAACCCCGCCAAGAATCTGTCACTACTGCGAGGACTCAGAGAAGCACACCTCTGTTTCGTCCAAAGACTTCCCAACATCGGAGCCGGGCTAGTTTCCAAAGACTTAGCCAGAGTGCCAATAGATCTGGGATCGTACCAAAGGGCGAGGATCCAAATAGATCTGTTACTTCTGGATAAGAGGCCAGATCCATGACACACCCAAAGAGAAGCGTTTTCTACATGTTTTCTGAGCCCTTCTTGTCTCTTTAGAAAGGTGAGCATCTCGTATGTCAGAGAAGTCTGCTTCCTTGAAACTCAGAAGGTACCTCTTGTGCCCGTAGTTTATTTGAACTGCTAAGTCATGATACTTAGAGACTACAGGGTAGAGCACAACTTAATTGCACTGCAAGTGAACGTCTATTGGGGGGTGGAGGTAGAAAATATTATCTGTCAGCACATGAACCTGTATAGCTAAACCCAGTCAACCACAGAGCGTACACAAGCATCTATGGCTAGGACGATCAGGAAATCCGCGATGACCACCACCAAGCAACTCCACAAGAATACCCCGCCACTCTGCAAAGCAAAAACTAAATCAAGGGGCATCCAGACTCTGACAGAGGAGGGAAGGGGTTAACTGACATCTAATAGATACAGTTTTTGTATTTTTCTAGGGAGTAGAGCTCAAATCAAGTCTTCTATTGAAGTGTCAACATCAGCACAACATGTCCTACCTGGCGAGTCATTACGAAATAAGCATACATTGCCATGGCACTACCATAGGTGATGAAATAGGTGACTGGTTCCATAATGTCCCAAGAATATTCCCACCAGGTGAGGCGGGCCAGAATCCCAAACTGAGTGGCCATGTAGGCCAGCCCTCCCCATAAAACCAAGGTTGTCCTCTTCTCTGCCTTCCTGCTCAGCTCCATCCTTACCTGCAGAAAAAAAGAAATACGTGCCTTGTATTCTCAAAAAACATTGTACTGATGTGATCATTAAAACACAAGAACAATGCTCTCTATCAACACAAAATCCTACGTTGTTTGAGATACGTGATCTAACCCTAGGTTACATAGACATCTCTAAATGTCTTTTCCATCAGTACCTCCCCATCACCTTTATTTTACTTTGAGCATACTCTGGATACTTAGCAAAGATGCTTACTTCTCTATGTTTGCAGGGATATTTCGTGGTATAAGCACCAATCTTTCTATTTATTACCAAGTTCATTTCCAATTATATAAAGCAAGGAAATAAAATACTTTTGCAGAAACAGACATAGCTTGATATAGATTTAGTGCCATCTTCTGCTTCACTGATCTTAAAACTATTTGAAGCGTGTCAGGGATCTAATTACAATCTTGAAATAAATTAATCTGGTGTTTGGAGGATAAGTCAAATACAATGAGACGCTTCACTTCTCACTTTTTCTAATGGTGCTAGCTGCTCCTTCAGTTCCTCTAGTCTCCCTATCAGCTCCTTCTCCTTGTTCATCTGCTGCTAGCTCTAGGAAAGAGAGAGAGTGCTTTATATGCATTTATCCACACAACTCCTTATAGATTCTTCAGAAATCGATATTACTCTGCACAGGAAACGTATGAAACTATCTTTCCAACACAAAAGCCTTTCGGAGAGCTCCAGCACTCTAGGACAATGTAATTTCTTCAAAAGAAAACCAGGCTTTACTACTAAATATGCCTAAAATTTGATAAAAATAGGAAAAAAAGAAGATACGAGTAGCTTGCTGGATTATCTACAGCTACTTCAGATCCATTTTTATACAAAAGACAATGAAGATAAATGAACAGCTGAATAGTATGACCCATCACACCAGCTGTCAAGAAACGGCCAGAATTCAAGCAGACTATAGTCCATGAGCAGCTGTAGTTATTGAAGACAGCAGATGAGGATCTTGTGTGAGTGGTCCCCAGAACATGCAGTCTTACGATAATTATTCCATATACTGATGCTAGGAATTGGTTCCAAACATTCAGAGGGCAATCCCTTACTGAACTGCCTATACGGCCACAAAATTCTACCTAGCTGCAAGCAAATAAATAACAAGGCTATTAATTGAAATAGCCTTTATCCCAGTATTTCAAAATCAGGAGCATTCATCAAAGAAACAAGCTTGTAAAGGAGTCGTGACTAGTGACATTACACTACGCACTCCATACAAAACACCTAAGTTTTGAAATAAAGCAAAAGAACTACTAGCCAAACGAAGCAATAAGAAAAAATTGACGTTAAATTTGCGTAATGTCCTTGGGCTTGCACCGTAGGTTATCTTCTCTAAACATCATTTTATCAGCATAGAAAGCAGAACCAACTTAGGAAAACTGCAGCACCCTACTTTCTGGGGAAGCTGGTCTTGGCTTGCAACGCTCAAGCAACAAACGAAAAAGTTCTGACCCATGAAAAGCTTTAAACAGTTTAAGTTCTAACATTAGCAGCCTGAGGGAAAGAAATAATTCAGTTGTCCATGCCAAAGTACACAGTAAGCAAAGCATGTTCCCCCCGCCTCAAAGCTAAATGTCTTTAATTTGACTGCGAAGAAAAAACCCACATGAAAAAACCCACATGAAGCGACTGTCAGAGAGTACTTAGCATTTCAGACTGCAGCATTCTAGCACTCACGTTTCAAAATACACAGGCTGATTTTCTAAAATAAAAAGCAATAGCTGAAAAGTTTAACCAAATTGATTTCAGTGCCTACTTACAGGCACATTAATTTTAATAGAAGCTAACTATAGAAGTTTCCTCAGCAAACGAATCGGAGGTGGCAATTTCATGCCACCTAGGTGATCTTAGACCTCATCCTGCCAGCGCACAATGGGTAGATCATGCAAGCAAGCTATAACCAAAAACATACCAGCTCGCTAACACAGAGACTTTGCTCTTTCAAACAGTAGGTGGGCGTGATGTATAAATTGCCTTATCTTAGGACAGCAGTTTCTCCAATACAGAAATAGGCATAATGTTCGCATTTTCATTTAGTTGTACTGAAAATTATCGACTACATCAGTTGGGCCTAATTCTCCCACCTGGTCTCAGGGGCTAACAATTAGAAGAGAAATCTTGTTAAAATTCTCCATTTCCTTGGTGCATAACAGCCTCAGAAGCCTGTGAAAATACTTTATTCAGGACTCACAGCAGTAAGGCGAGAAGAGAGAGAAACATTTTCATGTTGTTCCACATTGACCCATCCAGCTTAGATATCCAGTCTTAACGGAGAGCTTGCTGTTAAAATACTCTTAAAACGACTGTAAAAACCATCTCCAGGGGGAGATCAGTCTAACCCTGAGTGAGGGGAGAAATGGCATCTCGCACACTGCACTCCCAAATCAAGGTACCTGTTGCATACCAAGAACAAGTGGCTTCACAGAGTTGCCCAAGTCACCAAAACTTTCTTTTTTACGCAGTATTTTTATACTGTGGTCAATAAAACACTGAAAACCTTTGTTTTCATTATTATTTTTGTTTTCCTTGCAAAAAAGGAAACCAACTACAGTCCTACAGAGAAAACAGCACTTATCCGCAGAACTTCCTAGAAGTCGGTCACCCAAGGCAGTCTCAGACCCAAAAGATATCATGAGAATCCTCTAATTTTTTGATAGATCAACTTGCTTTAACACATTGCCTTATTCAAACTGTCTAACACAGTAAAAGGAGCATCGACAGCTCCCTCCCAGCTTCTGCCCTATGAATGATTTTGTCCGTAAACTGTTACTTGAAGAGAGAGGCGTAAGAAAATCCAAAAGCATACGTAGAACATCCAGATAGACAGCAGAAGGTATTCCCACCATCTGAACTCAAACAGTCATAAACCTTTCTTATTTTGCTTGCCTGACTACAGGGCTAAAACAAATTAAGTAAGGGCACGCAGGGACCTAGAACTTCATTTTATCCAACAGCTACCTATACGAAAGAGTAGGGGAAAGATGAAAATATTAGCTTTCTGCCTCGTTCAGTAAGTCTACAGCGCCTCAAAATCTTCTTGTGAGTTTTCAGACCTAGAAGTTAAACAAGTTGCTGAAGCCAACTATTTAAAATGATTTCACTATTGATTCAAAATAGGCTGGTTTCCCTTCCTACTAGGTTTCTTAGCAATGCGACCTTGTAAGAGCACTATTATTAACTTCACTGTTTGCCAGCTAACAAGGTTTCAAGGTTGGCTTGCAATAAAGTGCCACGCTCAAAGGAAACAAAAATCCCTACTTCCAGGCTAGGGAAAGGGTTCAGTCTTTCAAATCAGGTAACAGGAGTTCCAATGTGATTCTTGCTTTGTATTCAACTCCTTCACAATGAGTTAAAAAGGTTAAATTGGTTTCCCTCCACCATTTCTTCTTTTATTCCTCCTATGAGGCATACTGGCCCTGAACAAAATGAGTATTTGTTTCCTAATATTGACTACTCTATGATTATAGATATAACTAAATTAGACTGAGAAGGCAGGATTAGGAACTGCAAGATTTAATTTTCAAGAACACGAAGTGTTATTTCTACGGGTTAGTAAAGCACGCTGCAATTACAGGGAACTGAATGCCGAAATGCGTATTTGGAGTTTACTTGGTTGGTTTACCTCTCTTTGGTGGTCTAACAAGGTACGTGACATCATTAATAATCAGCTTGAAGTCATCCAGCAGAAGCAAATCTATGCCTGTGGAGGAGGCAACACGAGTACCATCTGTAAGGCAAACACAAGTGAATTCGTTCAACAGTAGAAACAAAGCCTCTAAACATGCTGCGCTTGTGCTAAGCAGGCTGTAACAGTATCCTAAATCCAGTTGTAGGACTGTTTTTCATTGACAACACTCTCTGTAAAGCTGGATGTACAGACTAAGAGATCTTACCTGGCAAATAATAGCTAAACAAGGTACGGAGTTGCTTTTCTAAATACATGATTTTTGGGGTCGTCTTATAAAAGTCAGTCCCCTTCATCCCACTGTATGAAAGCTGAATATTTTACCGCATTCTGCAACACAATTCACTTCAGTGACTTTCACCTCTCCATACTAGCACTAACGATGACTATTTCCATCCTTTTAATTTATTAAAGATGATTATTTCCATCCTTTTAGTTTGACAGCTTTGGCATCACCTCCCTCCCAGGCCAAGGCCTTCAATGAAACATCTGTTCTTACGTCACTCTTAGAAGACACCCTAACAACGTTTCAGAGCCTTGGTAACTAGCGCAGCATAGCGTTTGAGTTAGACACAATGAAACAGGATGTTTTCAGTGAAATACAATTGCGTTTTAATTAGCTAAGTGAAACGCTGTTTCCCCCACACCACTTTTTACACCCAGTTCCTTACAAATTGATTAGAACCTCTATATAAACAACTTGCATCTTCACACTACACAGTAGGAAGCGTTCACCTAAAACTTTGATGTTAATCCTACAAAGGTAAATTGAGAAAGTATACTTGACAAGATTATGAGGGGCTTCAGGCAAAAACAACTGAAAACAACAGCTGTTTATATTTTCATAAATATCTTGAGTATAGGCTTTTCAGTTGTCTGTAACAATGATTTGCATTCTGAATATCAACCTTGCATTATCAGTTACCATCTTCAGAACCTCAAGCATCAATCCTTCCCGAAAACTAGCATAACTTTTCAGTGCTCCAGGGCTGCTATACCCACACAATTAGCATAAGTGCTGCAGCATGGGCTACTACGCTCTTGTTCAATATTTCAAAGTCACTTGGATATAAGCGAAGAAACAATAAAGGTTACGTCTTTTGTTGTTACAGAACCTTCAAGACTGAAGCTAAGCATTAGGAACTGCTTCCTCTCTATTCACTCTATACGCTCCATTTATTCAGTCAAACGTTTCCTTGACAGACCTGATCACGTGCAGACAACTAACAGAACACTCCCACTCTAAAAACGACACTTCTGCTTTTTCCAGGGCGTCCGAGAACTCACTCCATAACAAGCTCTTACTTAAAAAGTTAAAGGTAAGACAAAAACAGCCAACAAACAAGTAAATCAATTAGTCTGCACGCAATAGTACCTGCTGAGTAGATTGCAACCCGATCAATTCCCCGGTCCTCCGCTTGCAGCTGTTGCAAGAACACACCAACCGAGTCTGAGATAGGTTTAAGCGTGAACTGGCAACGTTCACGTCGGGATGGAAGATTCACAGAAATAACAGGTAACCCATTTTGGTAAACCACCGTCACTTCTAGGAAGAAGATAAAAACGTAAGTTATCGTTAAAAACATAACAGGCTTCCCTGTAACCGATGTTTATCCCATGGAAACAAGACAAATACGGTTACAAACTGAACAAGAAGCAGAAACTTAAAAATTTTGGTTCATCTCACATCAAGAGATGCGTCCTCCAAACCTGAAAACTAAAGAATATCAGAGGTTTTCACTCCTATCAACCTAGCAATATCTATTAAGCTTCTAATGTTTTGTGGAAAAGTAAAACATAAACATACCTACTCTAAGCACAACCATCTTTATAGCAAACATAACAGGGTACCTAAGAACAGCACATAACCATACAGTATGTTTCCATTAGTTTTTGGGAACTAAAGCATTTTGGACTGTGGAACAAAACACACCGCACAGTTTAGAGGGATTTAAAACTCAGAAGACAAAGGCAGACCACACATTAGGAGACCTCAAGCAAGGACCTACTTCAAACACTTTTACTCTTGTTTAGTTCTGGTTTCTTCCTCTGTGTACAGCGGCAACAAATGCGTAAGAGAGCAGTCAGGAGTATGGGGTTGCAGGAACAGTACTCACAGAGTTTATGCTTCAAGGTCATTTCATCTAAAATTCATGGGAATCAATACACTTTGTACTTCAGAAGACAGGCATTACTTCTTAGGTGTAGATAAAAAAAACACTTTCTATTTCTTGAGGGCTGCCAGAAGCTTTTTCAAATATGTTCTTAAGGATGCACCAGTACATGCTAGGAGCTGATCAGTGGGAGAGCAGCTTGGCAGAAAAGACTAGGGGGGCCTGGTGGTGGGCATCAACTTGAACACGAGCCAGCCATTTGCCCTTGCAGCAAAGACCAACAGCCTCCCAGGCTGTATTAGGAAGAGCATTGCCAGCAGGTCAAGGGAGATGATCCTTCCCCCCTTAGCATGGGTGAGGCCACATCTGGAGCACTGTGCCCAGTGCTGGGCTCCCCAAGGCAAGAGAGATGGACAAACTCAAGTGAGTTCAGCAGAGGGCCACGAAGATGATTAAGGGTTGGAGCATCTGATACATTAGGAGCAGCTGAGAGCTAGAATCCTTGAGCCTGGAGAAGTTTTTGAGGGGAGAAGGAAAAGAAAAGGGAACAGGAATCTTATCAATGCCTATAAACACCTGATTTTGGGGAGGGGGGCAATATGGAGCATATGTAAAGATGATGAGCCAGACTCTTCTCACTGGTGTTCAGTGACAGGACAAGAAGCAATGGGCACCTACAGAAACACAAACAATTCCATTTAAACATAAGATTTTTTTTTTTTTTTTTTTTTTTGGTGATTGAACATAGGAACAGGTTGTTCAGAGTGGGTGTGGAATCTCCATTGCTCTGGAGACATTCAAAAGCCCAGTGGACAAGGTCTTGAGAAGCCTGCGCTAGCTGACCCTGCTTTGAGCAAGGGGGGGGGGGTGTTGGACTAGAAGATCTCCAGAGGCCCTTTCCAACATCAACTACTCCGCAATTCTGTGACTCCAGTGAACCTTGCTAAAATTTATTGCACTGACCTTCATGAACTGTAAATTAGTTATTACTTCACTACCAGCACACTCTGCCTGCTTTGGGATATTCATAGATACAGGGGGTGGGGGGGGTGAGGGGAGGAAGAGACATGAAAATAAAATTGAAGTTTTTATTCTCTGTGCCCTTTACTGAGTCACGAACAGTCCAAATTGCCTAAATGCAGTAGCTGCTAGGATACAGTGGCACACACCTAAGAATGATCCACCCTGGGTTCTCATGTATTTTCCTTACGTAAAAAGGTAAGGTCTTTTTTGTTGCATAGGTCATTTGCCACATCTCAGGAGATTAGGCAGTCACCCACCCACACTGCAGCTGGCTTAATATTCCCACCTGTTGTAGCTTTGGGCTACTGCATGAACCGCACCACCTACTTAAACGGATTTAACTCGCATATTGACATTCCAAGTTAATTTGAGCAACTAACATCAAAACAAGGTGGTATAAAGAGGACTGTGCCGAAAGCAGAGGCAAATAAGAGTAATTTTAACTACCAAAGGACACTATTTCTCAGCATGCTAGCATTCAGCACGTTCGACCACCAATGGCCTTTATACCTCCTTTCAGAGATTTGTTGCCAAACGAGCACCATGTTTACTACAGGATCCTTTGCACTTCGGGATAAATCTTGGAGCAACATCCCTTTTTCAAAAAGGAGGCTCAGGGATGTTGAGAAAGGATACACTACTAATTTTTAAAAGGCAAGACAACAGTCGTCTTGAGCTTCGAGTTTACCATCACGTCTGAATGTATTGAGTCAAGTACACAAAGGCAAGAGTACATTTTTCCTCTTTCTCTGAGGGATTACTATCCAATGTTGACAGAGGTTCTCATGTCGTCTTTAAAGACTAGGTGGAAGTGACCACACATGACATCCGAAATGACTAAAGACTCTCAAGGTCCCAGTATTTGGAAACCTATAAACATCTACTCTCAAGAATCAGATACCTGACAGGATTTCAATAGCTTAAGTGTTTCAAAGCTTCCACCTCAGACTACAGTCAGATATTTACTGAAAAAAATTATGCAAACTGCCAGTTTATTTGGACAGTTGAACAGAAATTCAAGCTCCACATCAGCAGCTGTTTTGACACCAGCTATCAGATTTTGCTCTCTTTCCCCCATGTATTTGCGCGAGAGAAAGACTGGTAAGAAATAGATTAGCATTAACTACGTTTGTGAATTTTCTACTTGAGAGAGCAGGCTCAAAAGGTATGATTAACACGTTTAGAAGGTTAAAATAGCCACTGAAGTATTAAATGCATTGGTTCTGTGAGGAGCATATACAACATTAACTTAGGTACTCATTACAAAGCCACTGCACCAAAGACTGCTGTAGAGAACTCAGTTCACATGAAAAACTTTTATTTAAAATGCTACTGTGTATAAAGCTAGTAAGCCAGTTTCTTTATTGTACAGCATAACAGGAAAAAAAGCAATGCTTGCACCAACGCATTTCTGTTCTTCCCCTTTGTTACAACACAACAATTGCAGCTCTGGTACCGCCAGCATTGAAGGAAGTACATACAGTGCCAGTCTTCACCACATTTTAACTTTGTACAGACCAGATGCAGGTGATAAACGTGAAAGGTAGGTCTGTATCAACAGTCTTCAGCATCGGTAACAAGATGAAACCTTTTTCAAGGATTTCCAGCTTAGGTGAAGTGTTAAAGATCAAATTATTAAAAAGAGAGAAAAAAGACAGCAAGACAACTCCAGTAAGAGTGACACAAAACACTATGATATATGGCTGTCTGCCTTGCTTTCCTCTGCTCTGACAGCCCTGTGGATTGCTTGCTTCAAGACAAGTACAAGTAACCAACAGGACAAAGCATTTTGGCATCCCACTAACTACAGAGCTAACATTTTGGCTTATATCATCACTGATGAAATATCCGACCAGTATTTAAATACATGGGAAATATTAAGGAAAGTAATTGCATATAAGCGTATTTCACTTGCGCGTGCAGTCACCTACAGCTTAGCCAGGTGTGTCACTAAATAAGGCAATGGAAGATTTCACAGCTTTACACACTGTGTTAAGCATGAGGTTGCTCCGAGGTAGGAATTCCATCCATGCGCCACAAAGTTTGGACTCAGTCATATGTGAGCTAGCAAGATATCATTGGTATTGTTCAAGTTTTTTCGTTCTTGCATAAGAACTTAAACAGTACATTAGGCTAAAATAATGTACAGTTAAAAAAGAGGATGGGCAAAGAAATCAGGATTGTACTTCTGTACAATTAGGATTGCACGGCTAGTAAAAGCAAAGTTATTAGAAGAAGTAACGAGAGAAATATTCAAGCACAATATCAGAAGAGGTAAAAACCAGACATCAATACATCAGGCAAGTACCTATACACCTCCATTATCCTCTCAGTCTTCTATTAATCTACATTTCCACCTATTTAAGTCTCCTAGTTTTTATTTCAGCTCCTTCCCAAGCTCTCCACTGCAGTCACGTTCTCATTGTGTCTGCACATGGCCCTTATCCTGACAGAGGAAGCAACTGTAGCTGAGCCCTTTGCTTTATTAGCTTTCAGGCATTACTAAACAAGCCTTAAGGGTGAGAGGATCCACTAACTGCTTGTGTCAGTCAGCACAAGCACTCTACTCTTTGCACACAGCATGCAGACATGAAGTAGGCAGAGATCTCAAAGCCGTTTGTTTCCTCTTTGTATTTTGGCATATGGAGATCTTTACAAAGTTCCACGTACCTTGCCAGTATATTCCTTTGTTTTTATGCTATGAGGTTTTTTGATAACGTTGTCAATGTCTGAGCTGTCTTAGAATTTAAATAAAGGAACAAAACGTGCTTGGCTTCACAACTTATTCACTGCAGCAGACACGGTGCTTTCAACCGCTTAAGCGACAGGTATCTCCAACATTTTCATTACATAAAATGAGTTCATGAGGCACATGGTATCCCAGAAGGCAGGTATCACAGAGACCACACAGGTACATCAGCAAAAGATCTAGCAGAAATTTTGGACAGTTATGCATAATTTTCATCTTCCTTCATAAAGCCTGTTCAGTTTTGTAAAGATAGTTATTGGAGGAGTAGACTGTTTTCTTAGTTTTTCTTAACTTACTTTGTTCTCTTTCACTTCCCTAGTTCAAAAATAGATTACCTCCTATCCAAAAAAACAGCCCTCAACCAGAAGAGGGGTCAGGGAACGTGAGTGAAGTCAAAAGGGAGCCCAAACTTTGCAAATGCCAACACTCACCGTCAGAGGGCACTACCGTACTGCAATAGACCACTCTTAGACTCTGCCAGGGAGAAAGCCTCTGATGCACCTAGAAAATTCAAACACAGCAAAAAGACAAATGTTCAGTCGCACTGTCTGTCAGAATTGCGCCCTGCTGCCACCTCCTGTCCCCCTCCTCCCGCCACCATCCATCCTATTGCCTGTGCTAGGCATTTCCTCCCTCCGCCCCAGGCTAACCGCAGACCAGGAGTACCCGTCAAGAACAGCATCTTCTCTGACCATCTGTCACCCAGCAGGGTTTGCCTCCTCAGCCAAGTTCACCTCGACGCAGCTCACTGCCAATTTACATACTTTAAGGAGAACGCACAACAGAACAGCTGTTTTTTTTTAATGTAAAATATATTTTTAAACCCAGATGCCCCATGAGCGTAATCATTTTTTTAAAATTCAACTTGGAGTATTATGCAGACAGAGAGGGAGAAATCACGCAAAGTGACAGTTTTCAAAGGTGGTATAAATTTTTAGTATAACAAAGGGTGAGGGTTAGGAAATTCTGGAGTAGGTTTTCTTCTCTTCAGTCTTCTCTGCTGACTTAGGATTTTCTTGTCCTTACAACAGAAAGGGGGAGGCCAAACTGTAAGACAACAGTAGTAAGTACGACTGTTTCTGAAAAAGAACACCTCGTCCAAAATAACCTGACGCTGAGCTAGAAAAAAAAAAGGGGAGGAACGACTACATTTGTTCATGACAATCTAGAATTGGATCAATTTATATATTCATACCTAGAAAGTCCACCTTCTGTGAAGACTATTTTGTATTGGTTACAAACCAGAAAACTCCAACAATTAAACTACAGTCCTAGCACAGAAGAGCCCCATTTTAGACAGAACAAGGCGCAAGACCAGTTCTCATATCCTGACCTGGCACTCAGGTTTTTCAACAGTTAGAATCCAATTCCATGTTATTTTTAACTTAAAAAACAAAACAAAAAATACCACACACACACACTATTGCCAAACCTGCATTTCTATAAAGGTACCGCACAGGTAGGGCTTGCTTTCAGTAAATTTCAGATTGAAGTTTGGAGACAAAAATCCAAGCTGTTGATTATTTCTCTGTCAAGCCTTCCAGACATGCATTCTTAGCTAGGTTGCTCTCAACAGCCTACTTCAGGTAGATTCCTCCACTACTTTCGTTTTCTTCTGAAACCTGCTATACAAATCAAAGATAGCCCCAACTACACTAGTCTTGAAAGTGGGAGTTATGCCCAGGTGGTCAGTACTTTGACGGTTCTGGAAATACAGTCTAATTTATATTGTATTTACACTCCTTTCCCCCAAACTCCTCAGCCTTGACAAAGGAAAAAAGAAATAAATCAATTAAGTCATCTTCTCTTTTGCTTCTATTTTGCAGTAGCATTTTCAGCTCCTCACAGTTGGGTCAAGCAGGCGGTTAACAGCAGAAGAGAACCGGGCATTAAACAGCTGTGACTGAATGTAAGTGAGAAGTTGCATGTTTTGGAAAAAGAAATGTTTAAAGAAAGCATATACGTTGGAAACTGAAGTGCAAATTTGCCTTTTAACATTCAAAAATAGGACGTTTACTGCATTGAAACACCCATGTATTACTGCTGAGCAACCAGGAAACCATCCCAACCTGGAGGGAAAAAAAATTCAAAGCACCACACATCTCAGATAAGCCAAGCTTCCCTGTCTTGCCATTGCCATGGTCAAAAAGTCAGAAGTTTCGATTGTCAGCAGCTGTGCATCACAGGTAAGCCAGTTTTCAGCTTGAATTCAATACCAAGTTTTACCTAAAGAGGGGAAGCCTCTATAGCAAGTCTCAAAAAAGCAATACCTTTTCCTATTTGAAACCAGCAACTTCAATTTCAATGCTTCTAAAAACAGCATCACCCCAGATACAATAGTAATTGTGCAGAGTTTATACAGCGAGAGGCAGAACTGCCTTTCAGAGCCCTCTCACAAAGCACCATTTACGTACTTGCCTCACCCAGTCCTACGGCAGAGCAGGCACTTTCATCTACCTGCTTTTTATTCCTTTACTCTTCCCTTTTACACGACATTCATCTTCTATTTTTAAGATACAGCACACCAAGAGTTTGCCTTCCTACCAGATTTGCATGGCAGCCCAAAAATTTAGTAGCTGTTCTCAGACAATCCGAAAACCTTCTAAACCCAGTTCTATCCCACTGCAGAATAGCTATACAATTCAAATATATTATCAGCTACCATCTGCAAAGATCCTAACATAAGGTCACAGGTGTTTCATAGGTATAAGCTAATTCCAAAAGTCTCCTGCCTTCATATACACAGGAGCAGGGGAAGCAGCAAAACGGCTCAGAAAACAGGACATGTTAGATGACTAATCAAAAAGCTGAGGAATCCCCAGATTTCACCTGTTTCAAAATCTTCATCTTTGACAGTCCTCTCACCCCGATTCAGATGTGAGGCAATTCAGTGTTTTCATTAACCATACAGAAATACACCGCCACTACGTTCTAGAGAAAGGGCCTCTGCTTGAACGAAACGTACCTGTCACTGAGCACCTCCGGTTCTGAACTGCACCTTGCAGTAGCAACGCTGCTCTCGGAAATTTCTTACTTAAGACAACAGTCTCAACTGGCAAGGGGAGAAGGGAAAAAAGGCAAAGGAACTCTAAGTCAGCAGAGGCCTAAATGTCATCTTCTGCCACTTAACATTAGTCAGAGCTTAAGGAATTATTTATCATTTCTGTTCTGAAGGCTGGATACCACTTTAAAACTGAGATGAAGAGAAGTTCATGTACCCTTTACCTAACGTCTGCAATTCAACAGCTTTACACAGAAACGCGACAGAGGAATTTAGTCCTGAACTTAAGTCCTTGGGGGTCCAAGCAGGACCCTTGATTCAAGCTTTGCTGACCACATCTCACAACCGGTTGTCTGCAGGCGCTTCGGCGAGAGCTCGTTACTTCAGCAAAGCAGCACAGAGTAACTACGTCCGCGTTGCGACTGAGACGGACAGGTTTACTACTTCCGAAATAAATAGTGAACAATATTTGGGATGTGAAAGGCAGAGCCAGACCACTGAAATCAGACAGAGGCTTTACATACCAACATGGCTTTGTAGGTCTGAAGGGACTAGAAGCAAGAATGTTTTCCCACATTTGTTCAATCCTTCTTATCCCACCTCATCTGCAGTAAGATACACGTTAAAAGGCGCAGGGTTATGCAGCAGCTCAACTCCCAGAATGATCAAGGGAGCAAGAGTAAAAATCCCAGTCCTCAGTCTAAAACTAACATTTCTTCCAGCCTCATTCAGGTGCATCTTAGATAATCCAGAAGTAAAATACCAGCATTTCCAGAGGGCCTAACGTAGCTAGCTCGATTCTACACTGGTGACAGGAAGGTTAATCAAAGCTGTACTAGAAAAACAGCCGGTTGGCTACCAGCAAGGCAGCAAATGCTGTCTGACGGGAAAAGAGGGAGCAATCTGGCAGAGCTCACGCTCTATATTTTACATAATTATCAAACAGTAGAATACCTTCGGGGTACTATGTCTCCAAAGCCTGATTAAAACCAGAAAAAAGTTAACCAGAAAAAGAAAAAACAGAAAAATTGTGAATCTCTCAAATTTGATCCAAAACAGAAGTAAAACATGCTGTTGCAGACTTTGTGAAAAAGAGCGTTCCCCGTGTAAGAGACCTCACCCGTAAGCAATTTTAAAAGATGCATTTGCAAGTGCCAACTGCAACATCTGCTTCACAGACTATGAAGGGTCTTAAACTGAGGCTGCCTTGAGTCAGATCTGAAGCAGCTCATCTTTTCAACCAGCAACAGCTATTTTCCTCTATAGCCACTTTCACAGCACGAAGAACTGAACATCTTTTCCCAGTTCTAGCGCTGGTTATTCTAAGACTTCCTGGTTAGGACAGCAGTTGCTGCCAGCTTCCCTGAGCAGTCGCAGTAACCCAAGGCACCCACCTCAGAAGTGCAGAAGAGCTCCCTTTAATGATCTTTCCCTCACTTTGGGAATTCACCTACTATAGGAATCCAACTACATATGCTCCTCCTATATTCAGTCATCCCTATTAAACAGTCCCTTCAACATATATCATTAGGTCTTCTCCTCCTGCTTTGCTTCCTCCCCTTGCACTAACACCGCATTCACAAAGACAGAACAAAACACCATTCTGACCGGAAATCTGCTGTCCAAAACCCACGATGCATAACTCACCAAAACTGCTAACGTTTCTGCACAGGTATGTAGGCTCCTACTGATTTCAAGGATCAACATCTATTAAAGCAAACAGTTGGTAAGTCTTTTGAAAATGAACCAATAAAACACTCTGAGCACATGAACAGATGCAAGAGCATTTCAGTATACTAAAGTGAGCTCTGCTCACACCCCTTGGCTGGCTCTGAACTCAATTTCATCCTCAACACTTGGCATCTTATTGCTACTACAGCTAGGCAGAAACACTTCTATCTCAGAGGAGCGAGTTTACCTTACCCTCCTCCCAGCCAGCACAAGATCGGCCTTCACAGCTCCATCCCCTCCACTGCTGGGCACATTAGTTACCCTATTCGCACCTTCACATCTCCAAGCATCAGGATCAAGCATCTACTCCTTTTTTTAATCACGGTTCCTCCTCCCTTAACTTTTTCTTTGTTACAAGCTAGCATTCAAAGGAAGCAAGCTAAAAAAGGAAAAAGGGAAAAATAATCAGTGGGGCATGCCTGGAATTCCCACTGCAGCCTCAAAACGCAGCAAGAACATGCAGTTCAGGACCAGGAGCACACCTGCATCAGTCCCTCACCTCGGGCATCAGATATCTTTTCTTGCACCTTTCACCCCCTCCTTTTCCACCTTTCATGCCTGCAAGGCATCTGGACTCCTTAGCTATCTTGTGTTATTTCCCTTTGGGCTCAATTTCAGAAAAAGATTGAAATTTTCAACTTTATTACCAAGGGTTTATTCAACAAATAATTAATCCTGCTCGGCAGGCTTCCGCCAATTTTTTTCTGCACTGTCAGGCACTGTCAGGATACATTCACATAGTAAATATTATATATATTTTTTTAAACAT